ATTTTAAAGGGGTTGTTTCATTAAAAACATGGCGATGCATAAAAAGGTAGATTTATTTCTGGGCATTTTTGCCTTGGGGTCTTTTAACCAATAAAACTGAGCTAAGGTGGTTGGTGCTTTGCGTCCGCGTTACTTAGACAACACATTGAGGTCCAAATTATGGTTTTCTCTGCAAAAACTGCTGGAAAAGGTAAGAGCTGAGCACCCTTCTTGACCCATATGAACTGACACTACAGTACGTTGCCTTTGCGATAAATGGTGAATATCCTGGTGAGTACCCTTCATTCGCTACAGTAGGCAATAGTAAGAGGGTTTGCAGAGATTATTTATTGCACAACAGCTTCATATGCAAAAAAAAACCTAATTAAATTATATCTCCTTGTACCCATCATCTGTCTTGGTATTTGAATTGCATGTGTCAACATTGCAGCAGCCAAGTAAAGTTATATGGATAATCCAAAATCTTGTAGAGCAGTGGCATTTACAGCAAGTAATTAAATAGTCAAGCACCAGTTGAATCTGTGCTCAAAAAAACATTTCATACACTTTTATTAATGTCAACCAAGGCAAGAGCGTTGTAAGTGCGTCTCATCTAGCCAATGACAGGCCCACCTCTGGGCTGTTCATCTACAGAACACACATTAGGTGGCTGAAAAGTGTATTAAAAGTGAAGGCACATGCATTTAGTGACAGCCATTGTGTCACCCTTTGTTCCAATGGATGCCACATTTATGTGACTAATTTAGAGTCGCATATCGAGCCGTGCTGCACCTCGCTGTGCTCACATTGTTCAAGTGCTTCCCTCTGTGTTTTCGTCAGCCTGTTCCTGAGCCAAATGGGTAATCTACTTATATGAAGGTCACATTAATGAATTGGTTCCCATCATTGTAGGGCATGGTGTGGCTTATCGCTTCTGGATACCACAGAGACAGCAATTATTCAGTGACAGGCCAACAGTACACCTAGGGGAGAAATTGATCAGAAGTCATTTAATATTATCCAAACAACACATTATTCACAATAACAGCACTGTATTTATTGGGGAAAGGTTTTGTGAGCACATTGAGTCTGGTTCACTGCAGCACAATATAACATCATATTATCTGTTATAACACATCCGCCCAGGAGAATGGCTTGATTTTTACAGAATATTTCTCAATCCAAGAAATCCTTGGGAATTGTTTGTCTTCAGTGGCATTTGTTGTTGCCCCCAGGATGACTAGAGGGATCTTTTTTCATTTGAATGTTGTATGAGAATGACTGCTTGGGCTTTTGTTTGCCTCTGAAACATTAGTGCGATAAACACATAATCTATAGTGACTATCACAATTGCAAACTGTCTACCAGGTTACATAGTGTATTGTTTTACTCCAGTGAACAGCGAAGATATTGTCATTTATTTTGCCAACATCTGCCTTTCTCTTTTTCTGTGTGAATTAAGTTCTTCCGCTGTTCATCTCTACCTGAAAAATCGGTTCAATCTTCCTTTTGAAACCTTCGAAAATTGCAAACATATAAGTGGGAGTTGCTCTGAGTCTATAAAATAACAATCCACCCTGAAGGAAACGTATTTTCTTTTTTTTTGACAATTGTATTATTCATGCGGTAAAATGTGTTGAAACTCTGGGGTCAACAAAGACTATAGAGAAGGGAAAGCATTGAATTAAGTGTTACGGTATAAACATGGCCTGAAGGCTTTTAATCGCCTCCAGTCCATGTATATAACTCAATCTGCCAAGATAGCGTTTTTTTCCCAAAGATATCTGACATTCCCTCTATCTACAGTCGTTTTTTCTCATACTGATATTCTGAACAATCTGTGCTATTGTATTAGCTGTAAAGTGTCTCTACTGTAGGCTATTTTTATTATATGTACAGCACTTTGGCTCGACCAAAAATCGTTTATAAATGTGCTATATAAATAAAACTTGATTTGATTTGATTCACTGTATAATACAATCTGACTGCCACAGATTATAGTGTGAGTATTACTCCCACAACGTTGTCACATGTTTCTCACTGCTGCTGGTAGTCAAACTTTAAATGAAAACTGAAAAAGAAGCCATGCACCATAAATGCACCAGTGGCGTTTTCTCCCGGAGGCCAAGGGAAGCCAGGCTTCCCCTGTTTTTTCGGATTGTAGTTATAATTTAAATAAATAAATACAAACACTTTGTTTTGTTTCGATAATTCTCCTTTGCTGTGTGTTGCTGCCGGCCCGTCTCTCCCCCATTCTCATTGAGTATTTTACAAAGAGTGAAACAAACAGCGCCCCTCTAGATGTTATGGTGAAACAGTAGATTGCACTCACTGTTGCGAGAGGAGGCCAGCCGAATCTAGCTTCCCTTGGTGAAAAAAAATGGAGGGATTGACCAATCAGATGAGGCCCACGTGATGCCCCTGCCAACCTGTGATTGGTCAGGGCCATGCCAAGGGAAGCTAGCCGCCTCTTGCTTCCCTTCAGAGGCGGCTGGCGGCTGGCGATTTGATTGGACACTGCCATCCAATCAAATCACATCAACATCAGTTTTAATACTGTAACTGTCATCACCGCCGTTAGAAATTTATCAAGCAAATGAAGCATTATGGAGGGTGGAGATTTGGCGTACTTAATCAAACATAACTTTACTAAACTTCCGCTACAGCAGCAACTACAAATTAAATCAGATGACAGGCAAATGCCCGCACTCGAGCTGTGTGTACGCAGAGGAAAAAGGGAGAGAATCGGACGTTCAATGAGGACAATTATGTCCGCACGGAGTGGCTAACTGGAAGCGCTAAACTTCAGCGTCTAATTTGCTGGCCATGTCTTCTTTTTGACAAGGATTCGTGCTCCCTGAACAATCCTTGGGCAACTTCAGGATTCATCGACTTTGCCAACCTGTCACGGGCAATTGAGAGGCACGGTAAATCCAAAAATCACATAGATTGTGTGATTGTCTGCATACATTAATAAGTAAAATGCTTAAATTAATAAGGAGAGAGTTTCAGCTGGAGAGTGCGTGCGGACCTGTCGGTTAGATAACAGGCGTGTGCAAGTCCTGCATCTGTGTGATACAAATGTGTGTAAAATGATACCGGGCGCTGTAATCACTCATCTGGTTACGTTATTGACCACCCCCCGACCCAAAAAATGGGCTTCCCCTACATTTTTCCCCACGCCACGCTACTGAAATGCACAAGCACATGGACACACACACACCTAATATGCAAAGTTGAGAGAATAAGTGAGAAGGCAGCCACAGAATCACATGAGGGCTGTCACGGTGAGATGATATTATCAGATTAAATCAGCCCTTGCCTACACACCGACAAGACAGGAATCCCTGCTATTTATGACGGCAGTTAATCCTGCGGAGAGTGGTGACAATCATATCTGCTGGATATGATTACCCACTCGTACGCCTGATAGTCAGGCATAGTCATTAGCTGATATAAAGTCTTACGTATCAGGACGAAATACAGTTCAATCCGTTCACAACAACAATTTGTGCTGCATTTTTTATCTAACCTTTTATATGGATATGATTCTTAGTGATCTGTTAACAAAATTGAGTTAGAATTTGAGTTCAAATGGTCTTGCTCATTCTTGCTGAAGGAACATTACATTCTAAATAATTAATTAGAGCTAGTTAAAGTATGTCTTTCATTTTTTGTAAAGCACTTTGAATTGCCTTGTGTTCAAAAGTGCTATATAAATAAACTTGCCTTGCCTTGCCTTGCCTTGCCTTGCCTTGCCTTGCCTTGCCTTGCCTTGCCTTGCCTTGCCTTGCCTTGCCTTGCCTTGCCTTGCCTTGCCTTGCCTTGCCTTGCCTTGCCTTGCCTTGCCTTGCCTTGCCTTGCCTTGCCTTGCCTTGCCTTGCCTTGCCTTGCCTTGCCTTGCCTTGCCTTGCCTTGCCTTGCCTTGCCTTGCCTTGCCTTGCCTTGCCTTGCCTAAAGAAAAACAGTCCCGGATTTACACAAATTGATCTGCATTATTATGTTTTATTCATCATTTTTTTTAATTCTATCTTTAAGAACCTGTCCTGTTCAGGGTTTGAGACACATCCCAGCCCAAACATGCCATACCGCATATGTTGGGTACTAAGAAATGAAAAGAGACTGCATTGTTTGTTTTCCTCACCTTTGTCTTCCTTCTCGTGGACTGGTTCCCTTTGGATTAAAAGCAGATCACAGTGGCTGTCTTTGAAGGTTTTCTCACGCTGACGATTCAGCACGTTGAATCGTCGGCAGAGACCGGGGTCAGGACGGAAAAGTGCTGCGAGCTCGGTGGGTCAGGGACAACGTAAACTGGTCGGTTCCAATCAATAGAAGGATCAGCATCTTGATACAGAGGTCTCCTTGAACCTCCGATCCCCGCGCTTTATCTCTTAAAATGAAACTGGCCTCCCTACAGAGAAACCTCATCTCTGCTTCTCAAGCATTCTGTGTTGCTATTATTTAATATGTAGGGAGATCTGGCATTGATCAAAGCAGTTATTTATGAGTCGTATCTTTCCAAAACTACATTATGCTCCCCTAGAGCAAAAATGGTTTACTTATTTATTAACCCGAAAAGAACAAATAATTTGCTTTATTGTTATCTGGAGAATGGAGTGAAATACAAGTAAAAACGTTAAAAGACTTTTGTAAGAAAGACAATAGGGATCAAACCCCACCAAGATCATTGGAAGAGTAAAAGGCCTGTTGTTAACACTCAAATTAAGATGTTATTATTCCTTGTTAGTATAATTATTTTTTAAATGTGACTCTTCCAAACAGTGAACTATTTAGAGGGAAAAAAAAGTTTTGAAAGGGATTGAAATCAAGCCTGACTTAATCAGAATTTATTCCAAACATTGTATTTGTACATATGTACATATACGTTGGCTTCTATGAGGACCCTTGTCTTTATCCTAACTGTGTTTATACTGTACCTGTGATATTGGAATATGGAACTTAATAGATTCCTCAATTCTTTATATCTGTTGTCTTATGATTTCTGTTCTTCTTCTTTCCAGGTTCCCTTTGGTTAGTGAGCTGGCTCCATTAGGCACACGGGTGGGGACTATTTTCGCTGCTGCTATCAATCAAACCATCTTCTACTCCATTGTTGCAGGAAATGAACTAGGTATGTACTCCAGATAATATTCCATACAGTCAATTAAACATTTGCATGAATTTTTTTGCATTATGATACTTTGTCTCCTACCACTTCATTTAAACACACTCACTCAAATTATGGAAATGCTTCAATTAAAAATGTATTTGGTTCCTGTTTATTTGTTATTCTACATTGAGCACACATATGTTTGTGCTTACCAATCTCGATTCAGTTTCAATATATCCACTGCTAAAAAAGTACAATCATTAGAGCTAATGTAAATACATTAAATGTGAATCTGAAGCTTGAAAAGGGGACCAGACACGAAGCAGAATGTATGACGGCTGCAGATGTCGACAAACCATCACAGTAAAGGCAACTGTCAAATAATATGTGCTTCCACTCACATCAGAAGATGCAGATTTAAAATATTCCTGGCAAAGCTCCCATATTATGTTGAACATTGCAGTATGAACGTCAAAGCCACAGAAGAAGACTGCTTTTCTCACTGAGAGTCTGAACATCTTAATTACACCCTGGGAAAGAGAGAAAACACCAGACAGGTGTGAGGTTAGCTCAGGTGTTTAAGACAAAAGTAGGAGACGTAGCTGGAGAAAGCACAGTATAGTAGCGTGCCGTCAGTCAGTAACCTTTTCCCAGCATGCACCTCAAGTGCTCCTGTAGTGGTCTGTGTCATGTGGAAACATGAGTTAGTGTCACTTTTCCTAAAATGCTCCTGAAAATCCCAGGCTCAAGACTTAAGAGTGCTATAAATCCACCTCCAGGCCCCCCGCAATAATATTCTCAGAAAAAGCAAAAGCCATTTGAAGCTTGGCCTTTTCAGATTGCCACAGAGGAGTTAGTGTCTGTCCATGCCAGTGAAACACATCTATTGTATTTCTGTGATATTTCCTTTGTCAGTTCTCCATCTAAAAAGTTGTTTTAAAAGTATTTAAAGAAGAGCATGTAAGCAGCCTATATTACAATATAAAGCTTTCTTTTTTAGTATAAGTATTTAGTATTTTTATTTATTCCTTGTTTATAATGTTACAAGGTGCTTTACTAATATAAATAATATGAGACAGGCTGATAGAGAAAGTAGACAATAAAATGAGTAGTAAATACAGAATGAATATTTACATAATATGAAATATTTCCAAAAGTGTTCTCAGAAAGAGAAACATTTACAGAAGAAAAATAATTACTTTATATAAGAATATAATGCAGTTTGTGTATGACCAACAACAGTTACTGTCACATAACTGTTTTTTCTTCTGTGCAGCTGTTATTGTTAGTTTTTTTGTGTGAAGATATACAATTGTTTCAGCTTCTGGATAATTCAACTTCACATCGTTGCAGCTTTTTTTATATAATAAGTACAAAAAAAGGCTTTATTGAGCTGTTCACTTATGAACCAATCATCCAAGAGAAGAAGAGAGCCTGTGGAGGAGTATTAATGCATTCAGTTGTAATTCCAGCATTTACACAACATTGATTAAAGGTGGGGTAGGTAAGTTTCAGAAACCTGCTCGAGATACACTTTGTTATATTCCATGGAATCCTCTTAAACGGATTGGTTTGCCGCCCTGTCTGTCAGCCTTCCATCTCGTGCACGCACAAATGTATCTCGTGCCCTCATTGGGCGTGCTGTCATTGGGCGTGCATTGCAGCAGTACTTCAATGACTCGCCAGCAACAGGCGGCCACTTTCACCATGGCAGAGTTAGGTTCAACATCGTCTACTGGTCGCAAAAGAAAAAATGTAACGGAGCAAATTAATGTAAGAACAAAAATAAAGTGGAAACTAGGAGAAGTCAAACCAGAGTCAATATCGGAGTTGTGCGCGGATGAGGTGCTCTGTAAGGAAGTCTGAAGGAAGGGGCGGATTCTTTTCCGCAGTGTACTTTCAAATTTTAGTGCACTCGAGCCGGTTTCTGAAACTTACCTACCCCACCTTTAAGTGCTGCTATCACGCTGAACAGAAAACCTTGTGCTAAAGTTTAACATTGTAAGTAACCATTCTGTTTATCCATTCAGTCTTTTGTGCTCTGACTTTGTCTGTTTCTAGGTCATTTTCAGGTTAACAACAGGACAGGCGTCATCTCAACAGCTAAACCTCTGGATTATGAAAATGTGACGAGCTATGTGCTTCGGGTCCAGGCTGACTCCATGTTTGTTGTCATGTCCAACCTGCGTGTGCCTTCTAAAAGTAAGAAACAGTGTTCAATAAATGGGTGAATGTGGAGGTTGAGCTGTACTGTAGAAAATCAGGGATGAATCTGTTCCAGGTGTTGCATTTATATTTAATCATAATAATCCCTCACTGTGACAGTACAGTTTAATGCAGTCATGGGAATGATATCCAATTTATTTTCCTCCCTCAAATGTATGTTCATGTGTAACGCAATTATGTAGGTTTTCTTTACATCATTCGTTTGTACATATGTAGAGATTTTTACATTCTGCCCAGTTTAATATGAACCGTACAGTATAAAAATATACCTTTTAATAAACTTTAAATGTATTTGTGCTACCTACATTGTTAGGCTGCATATTTGAAAACCAGGACAAAATGTGTCAGTGTGTACATATATAGGTTTATACTTTATTCTAGTGTGGCCTTTCTCACTGTACTGATCCTTATGTATAATTGGTTGTTTATTTTTACACTCCGTTGAACACAGAGCAGATTTTAAATTGACTTACTTTACTTAGGTTTATTTGGTTACTTTGTTTGTTTTCATACATGCAGGCTATGATGCGAGCAGTTTTGTACATTGTGTTTATATTCATTTATGGAATTGCCCAATGATTTTTCTTAAAATGTGGTTATATTCTTGTACCCGCTCTTTGTGCATCTGTCAGTCATGGTGATTATTATAATAACCATGAAACACGATTTGTCCGTATCTTCAAAGGAGAATATCATAAATCCTTAACAACACTGTCCAAATCTGTTGTATTGGTCTAATGATCAGAAATAGCCCATTTGTTTTAATTTAACCAGAACTGCCCCAAAACGAGAGTGGGTGACAAAACATAAATCAAAGCAAATTGTCAGTTAATGCAGCTGTTGCTTGTCTTTGTAGTATAGGCTAATGAAACGGGGATACTTGCCCATCATTTCTCCCCTCAAAGGCATTCGGGATGTTGAACTCTTCTGTACAAACACAAAGTAATGGGACATCTTCAAACATACTTTTCCTCATACCTGGCCGATTGCTTCTTCAAGTGGGCATGATTGTTTGAACATTTCATAAAGTTATTTCTGACACACAGTAATATAGACGTAGCACGGTCAGAAAGGAGGTCTGAGATGCTTTCTGATCGTCCACGAAGCACTTGTCTGAATCGAAATCATCCGACCGCACTCTTTGATAGCCATGCTCCAACTGGGATATCATGGGGTTCGTTTGTGGCCAGACGAAAGTTCTGTGAATGATGGATGAAGTGCTAGCTGGGTTTACACCTCCTTCTGAATCCATCTCTTCTCTACCTGCATTGACTCCTTCTTGCAGCGCTTGTCTCTAATTACAGTACATGTTCACAATACTCAGACAAACACATAACTCACATCCCTTATTAGATGGATGTAAAAGAGAGGATTGAAGAGCTTCTGTGGCATCTACAGGCTGACTTCCTGTTTTCAAAGTGTGTTTAGAGTGTAGAAAAAAACGTTTATTTCTCACTTCAAAGATCAAGACTCTTCTACTCTCATATGAGTTTAAAATCAAAGCATTATGCACAAATGTTTTTATATCGACTTCTTTAAGCCCATTTTGAACCTTTTTATGCACATACTTTATGAACTGACTTTCATATGTAAATGCACATGTAGTAATCCCGAGTGAGACTGTGTTAACATGATGATGATGAGAATGAACTATTGAGCACCCTCAATATTAGTCTGCCTTAGCAGCAATCCCTCCTCCTAATGGACCGGTTTCTTTCATGCATCTTTATGTGTTAGTGAGTGTGAGACAGGGGCGGTGTGCTGCATTTATGTTTTTATATCCTGATACTCTGAGGATGGAATATAGCCGCTTTTTACAAAGACTTCCATCCCCTGGAGTCCTTCCTCTGTGCCCAGCACTCCAGTTTTTGTGCCAGTAATTTGATGTGCTGTGTTTTTGTTTGTCCAATTCCCCTGGTACATCCTTAGCTCCGATGCGACATGGCTTTACATTTTTGTATGCCACCAGAAGAAAAATGGTCCTGGACCTTGACACTGCATATTTTTTACCTAAACTGCAGTGTTGAAAGGTTTTTCTGCCGTACATATTTATGCTGCTCATTGCCTAGATGTAACTGACAAATTAGGTGGCACAAATGTTATTACGCAGCATATGTGTGGTTTTCTTTTAAAGGGGCAGGATGAATATTTCACAAGCCTCACAAAAAGGCCAGTTAACCAGCAAATGTATTGTTACAATACCAAATTGATTGACTCTTTCCACATTGTTTTCTCACAAGGTCTCTGTTTCTCCACTGCACCTGTGCAAATTGCTTGCCTGTTAAACTTTCAGAGCATTTTATTGATGGAATCCTCATGTACCAAGTAATGGGGGAAATAATGTCCTCAAATTCTCCAATAAAAGTTGCTATGTAGACCTCACTTAAAAATAATGACTTGGATGGCAAAATGTCATCATCTTTTATTATTTTACTGAGCCATATTTGACTTGGAGTGTGAGGGTTCTCAATAATTGGTTGGTAAACAGAAGACAAAATGGCTCAGTTGTTTGCCAGGTCTTCTTATCAAGGTCAGGGAGGGAGAAGTTATCAACACACTTTAGACTTATTTTCTCGATTCAAAAGTTGTCCTTAAATCTATCGAAATAAACCTCATCATTGTTGACTCCCAAGTTTTCATCTTCTCAAATAGTTTTTGCATGTTTCATTTTAATTGGTTGAGTAAGGAAAGATGTTTCTCTCTTCAACTGATCAATTGTAAACAGTCCTTGCAACAGATTTGCAGGTTAAAATTGCTGCTAAATAAAGACGTCTTTTCCTAAATGTACTTAATTTACTTCTGGTCAAAGTAAAACCAAGTGTTCTATTTGCAGTGAATCTTCCCACACAAACTATTTTCAGTCAGATTTCAAAAGCTGGGTGAATCTGATTCCTTCAAGTAAAAATGTATTAACTAAATGTCAGAAATATTCAAACCGGGCCTCGTCAGATATTAAATGTATTATTGTTAAATTGGTGACGGCTAACCAATTACATCTTTGTTGAAAAATACATTACGTTTTTTCCAGTGATGAGACATTCCAAATATTTCTGGATTTTTTTTAAAGCTGTCCTTTGAAGTTGTGGACCAGCTGATGACCATGGAAATATTATATTGAAATTACCATTTTTAGGCTCAGTTATGCAACTTTTGATTAGCGCCAGTTTGGATGACTTCAGAAATGTCTTTATTCAACAGTTGGTGACCTTGCCGATATACGCTTGCTGTACTCGTCTGGTCCAAAATATTATTTTGTAAAGGTTGCAGCAAACCTTGGGTACCAAATGCTTGAATAGGTACATTGAAGTACACAGATTGGAGTCGCGTCTTAACATTTGCAAATGAATGATATGTATTTATTATGTATTTACTCCAACATGGTTTGAATGCATTCTGTTGCCATTTGATTTGTGCAGCTAACACAGCCAAGGTGTTCATTGAGGTGCAGGATGAGAACGACCACCCTCCTGTTTTCTCCAGGATCCTCTACATTGGCGGCGTGACGGAGGACACCAAGATCTTCAGCTCTGTGCTCAAGATAGTGGTAAGAAACATCTTCTCCTGTTTTCATTTGTGTTGGTCTGTGCTTCCACCCCTACAATATTTACCCTGCAGCAAATGTTGGGAGAATTCATCCGATCTGCACGGTTTCATCTTCTCCCAATATCGCTGGCCCCATCTCTTCTTCAATTTCGCTCTCCCCACTGAATGCCTTCTCCAAGAGCAGGTGGGATCAGAGTGAGTTGAGCGATGTAATCCCCGTGTGTTCACAGAAGCATGGCTGGACATCCTGTCTGATTATCAGCACAAGGTGGTTTCACTTCATACGGTTTACTACTCGGTACTGTATGTCTATTTTCTGTGTGGGAGAGTGTTAGTGTGTGCTTGAACTTGTGTCTCTGTATACAGAGTCCTTCCAAACCAGTGTCTTCAATGTTGACGTTGAATGTCAGCACAACAGCTTACAAACATGGTTTCAGGATTTTGTTACATAGGGTGCTTCATTTGTAATTACAGTATTTAAATACAGCCATGTAAGGGAGTGATTTAGGGGTTGTCCTCTTGACTTTCAAAATCCTATTTGTGTCCCCCTCATCTCTATTGTGTCAGGTGGATATTCAAATTCTCCCACGCTCAAGCCACCAAAGCATGTATCATTAACCATTATAACTAGGATTTTAAGACAGCATTACTTCACTGCCTGCTTTAATTAAACCAAATCTCTGCCTTCAATGTCAGTAAAACTGCATTCAGTTTGACTTTGCACAACACATACATCAGCTGGCGGTATTTAATCATTTTTCTTCGTTCCCCTGAACACTACTTGTTTCAGCCTTACAAAGGCTAAGCAGCATCAGAGACGCGATGCTTTCAATTCAAATAATTATGATTTTGCTGATGGCTGTTTTGTACGACAGCTAACATTGACCTTGAACCTGATTTCCAACTGTTTCTTCAGCAACAATAGAAACACAAATCTGTGTGGAGACTTGTTCTGTATTTGGATTCAAGGCTGTGTTTATTCCTCATGTGGTTATGTGTTAAGGTAAATTCTGTGTAATTTGCCTGTTTGTATGCACACAACACAACTTTTTCCAATATTTTGGAGGTGAAAGGTAACTTTATATATAATCAAAAAAGGTAACACTTTATATTGAGGTACACAAATTAACCATCAACTAGTTGTTAATTAACATGCATGCGTTTGAATGTCAGTGGACTGCAAATAAGTCCATAAAGGAGCATGGCTGCCCATTCCCTGGCTCTCAAGAGTTTGGCTGGCTGTTTAATCTATGTTCACACTGAGACAGTACAACACAGAGAGAACAGTACACCGTATTGGTTATGAACAAGACTTCACCTTAAAATAGGGAACATGTTCTTAGATATAAATACCTAATTTTGAGTTATTTAGACGCAATTAACACTTATAGTTTCATGTCTTGTTACATATGAATAGATCATATTTGTTAAGTGTTATTATGGGAGAATTACTATTCTTGTGGTACTACTGCCTTATTAGGCCCATATTGAGCAGAGCATATTAAGACCAAAACTCATGTACAATAACTGCTTTACTTGCAATAAATAAGCACTAATTAGAGGGTTATTGAAGAAAAACTCAACTAATGGCTTATTTCTTGTAGAATCTGGTCATGTAGAATAAGGCATTAATAAGTGTTTTATAATGATTAATAAAGAACCAATATACTGCTAATATGCATGTTAATTAAAAACTAGTTGATGGTTATTTTGTGTACCTTAATATAGTGTGTTACCTAAAAAAAAATATTAAACTGGGCCCTCGCTGGAAATCTGGGGGCTTTTTTTAAATATTATGGACTTCAATGTGTTTTTTTAAATGGGGTGTAATATCTAGCAGGCAGGTTGAGAAGCAAAATGTCACGGAAGATGTGAAAATCCTCCCAAATCATCCACGGAAACGGCCGGCAGTGGTCACTCATCTCCCCCTTTCTTCAAAAAAAACTAAAATAATAGGCAATACATTGGTTACAGTAAAGACAATGTGAAAACCATTGGCTGCCAGGGGCTTATATTTATTATATGGATGGTCTCAAATAAAACTAGGTGTACTTTTTTCTGTTAATTAAGTGCATCTTTACTGTTTATGGTATAATCCTTAAAAAAAGGCTCTTGTAGCACACAGAAACATTCCTCAATAACTTGCGTTAGACAATATTAAACCTAGGGTTAGCATATATATTCAAGACCATGTCAAGAGATAAACACATTTTACAAGATACCTATAAAAGGTAATAAAATAATCCAAACACATTAATGCAGAAACAAAGAATATCAAAGATTAGCCCAGGCATTATTTTAACTTCAAACTCAATAAATCACATTACAATTACATTAAAAGTGATTATAGGAAACACAATTGTTGCTACAAATACATTTTGTAATGCCAATTATTGTGAATTTATTTGAAGCCTTCAAGGTTTGCCATCGACACTGTAGTAGATGTATTCCTTAACCGTATATGTACCGTGTAACTATCAAACAGAGAGAAGGTAATAATCCATCACGCGTGTGTAATCATGAACACGGACATTACATGTCACATGCCATGTGACATTAGAACTATGATTCACAGCCGACATCTTGACTTATCATAGCAGGAAATGCTAGGTGCTGTTTACAACATCAAAAATGGATTAGTTACATTTACATGTCCCAGGGCAATTTTCAGAGGCAATTGAATGAATTTGTAGATTTGTATCTAGATTTTGAGTGTGTTAGGCACAAACAGAAACGTTGCACAGTGATGCAAGTATCTGCAGATTCCAGATAAGTAGTGTAAAGCAAATTCTTTGATAAAAATCATTTAAAATAATGACCAATTTATTAATATGTAGACAAATATTTTATGTGTGTTCAGATGTACAAATAGCACTGAAAAGATCATCATCGGCTGGTTTCATCACCACAACCAGTTCAAATCCCTTTCCTGACATTCCTTTAACTTGGAATGGACACCAAAGTGTAGAATTATGGGTCAAGTGCTATCTATAATTTCCCCGGAGTCGAGGCTTCTTTGCAGTATGGCTCGTGTGAAGTGTTTGTACTTGACTTAATTAGTAATGAAGCTGAGAGCCTTTTCCTCTGGAGATAATCATTAGAAATAAAGCAAACATTTGGCATACTCTGACACTCCAAGTCAAAAATAGTATAATCCCATGATTTAGTCATGCAGACATTCTAATGTAAGCAAATGAACTCTGTGGTGCCAGACAGGTTTGCTGTATTTGATGCTCAGATCTCATTTCAAGGGTGAAAGAAAAGTCTGATTGCATGATTACGCTCTGCTCCTTGTATCACTTAGTTGACCCTTTTTTTTTTAATTAGTAAGTAAGTGGATTCATGGGCGGCCAAAGAACTGCATGGCCCTTTGTGTTAAACATACTGAAAAAGCTTTTTCAACAACAAGCAGATGCTATTGGTTTACATTAAGAATTGAAAGCTATCAATATGTTTTCCCGTTGCCGTCTTATAATACAACGAACTTCCCTCAGTGATAGTTTTTCCCCCAAGTGTTCACAACTAAAAGGTTTGCTATACAGTACATAAATGATGCCGTTACATATATTTGCTATGTTCTTCACTCAATGAGGATATCTCACTCTGCTGATTTATTCAGCTTTTTCATTGGGACTTGCTCCCCCCTACCCCTCCTCCTACGATAGCTGGAAAGAAAAAAGAGATTGCTCCTATTTATCAGTGTCACTTGCTACAGACAAGCTCTCTGAAAATTGATGCCTGTGTGTGAGCTCACTGGCCATTCAGAATATTTGCCTCAGGTCGATAGGAGAATTCTGTGGTTTTGCCAACAATGACAGAGTGCTTTGACAAGCCTCGTGCAAATTATGATACTCATACATGTAAATTGTGGACTGAACGTTTTTCTCGCCGTACATTTTTGTTTTGATTTAAGGAATCGAAAAACATTGTTTAAATCAATCCTTAAATGTAATATGTTTCTCAAATTATTAGCACGAGTCCTATAATCAGACAGCTCTGATGGTCTGTTGTCATGACAAAATTGAATCGTTTTGATTTGTCACCTAGATCAGCGGTTTTCAAAGTGTGAAGTGCGCCTCCCTGGGGGGCGCCAGAGAGCTTCAGGGGAGGCGCAGCGTGAGAAAAAAAATAACGAGAAAAAGATGAGTAAAGTGTCACTTGCACACTTTTGGCTGTCTGTGGAGAACGAGTTCCCCCAACTCGCCAAAAAGGCTGTAAAAGTGCTCATTCAACTCCACCTGTGTGAGTGCGGGTTTTCCGCATTGACTTTGAACAAAATCAAGTACTGCAGCCAGATGATGATCTGCATTTATTCCTGTCTACATTGCATCCCCGCCAGAGTCCTGCACGGGTCTGATTTTCAAGACCCGCTCCCGCCCCGTACCCGCAATACCAAACCCGGCCCGCCACCCGCACATATTGCAAATTAGTTCCGCAAACCGACCCGACCTGTCGGCACAAGATCCGCAAACCGACCCGAACATCCTATGAGCAGTGGAAACATGCAATTATTAACACACGCAGTTGCGTATTTGGCTCAAAAAGCGTGGGATGTTGGTTATTTTCTCCGATGACACCAAAAGCCTCCCAGATGTTGGATTTCGCTGTGGAGGAAGAGTTATTTACGCTAGAGAGCTTCACTTCAGCCATTTTGAATGTAGCGCGCTCAGCAGCAGATTGATGCGGTGCAGTTTGTTATGATTATGCGCGGTCCCGCGGGGGAGAGGTCTGAGGAATCTTTAAACATTAAATACAATTATTATTATTTAAATGTATTTATTATGCAACACCCGCGACCCGACCCGCATCTTCTTTGTTTTAGAACTGAACCCGGAAGAAAATGTTTGAAAAAATACCATCACTTTTTTTGCGGGTCACCCATCTGTCAGTTTTTGTTGATTTGGGCATGTTTCCTGGACAGGCTACTTTGTGCAGACAACGTTAATAATAATTGTAATATTCCAGTTATAAACGACAATCAAAGGTGTGTTGCTGTATTTTAGTTGTAAAGAAATGCATTCTATATATATATATATATATATATATATATATATATATATATATATATATATATATCATTTACACAGTGCCTGTAAACTGGAGGAGAACACTGGCATTTATTCTCCTACTTGAAAGACTACGGAGGGATAGGGTCTGCAAAATTAGCTTATTTTGGGGGTTGACTGGATGCTCTGACCGGTCCACTTCCTGCCCGGCGCTATGCAACGCGTCGCGTCAAAAATAGACTTGCATCCTATTTTTAGCGGAGCCCAGCGCCGAGACGCTTCTGGGACGCTTCTATCCATAACGCGTCCGTCTGGTGGAATAGCACCCATAGGCGCGTTCACACCGCAGTACTTTTCCCACTTTAGTTCCGATATAGTTCCGAAATGACGCGTTCACACCAAAAAGAGCCGGAACTAAAATTAGTTAATGAGAACCTTTTTACCCCCTTTTCCGTCAGTTTTCCGTCCCTGTTAGAGAGCAGGTACTTTCGTGGGAGAAAAAGGTTCCTAGCTATCTCTGATTGGCTGGGCGGAATGCAAACCACGCCCCGTAAAACTACCAAAAGGTTTTGTGAAGCCGCCATTTTATTATCCTCGCATTAGCATTATTAGCATTAGCATTAGCCCAGCGCAGAAACACAGAGAGACTAACTTATGGCAACACAAAATAAAACATGGGAGCGGTGGAGATGAGGAGGTGTCGGCGTTCTGGCGATTTACTCGGAAGGCTTCAGTAGAAGCTGCTGGGAGTCCCAGCAGCTTCTACTGAAGCCAGTCCCTAACTCCGGGGACTTTGGGCGGCAGTGTACGCCGTGAAGTTGTTTGCGGCCTGCCAGTAAACCCAAAGCAGAAGAAGTGACGTCAGCGGCTTCATTTGCCTAATCCTCCCCCAGGGACTTATTCCGGTGTGAACGCGATCTGTACTTAGTTCATTAGAACTAAAGAGTTCTGATTAACTAAGTTCTGATGAACTAAAGTGGTCTGAACGTGCCTATTGACTGGAGTGGCCGCGATCGTTGTGAACGCCGCGGCACGTGTTAACATTGAAAATGTTAAAAAAAAATAAAAAATGTTTAAAACATAAAGATAAAAAGTTTAAACAAAAAGTTATTGTTTAATGTTTTTAGGAGGTGACGCTACTCAGTCAATCAAATCGGTTTCAAATGGCGTGCTCAAAAAAGAGAAAGGACAGCGAAAACAGAGCATTTAGTGACATTTTCTCTTCTGGACATCTTTGAAATGCAATTGAATATCCCTGCATTATAGCAACAACAACAATGATAATAATAATAATAGCAATAATAATTGGGAGGGGGGCACGGCTGTTCTTATGTTCTCTGAGGGGAGGCTCACCTTCCCACACTTTGAAAACCCCTAACCTAGATAAAGAATAATAATGCGATACATCACAGCGAGATTGATACACCACAAGGAGTCGCAAAAGAAACCACGCCTGCAGAGTTTTAAAGGGCCCATGTCATGGCCATTTCTATTGATCATATTTCCATTGTTGAGGTCTACTAGAATAGATTTAAATTGTGCAATTTTCCAAAATCACATTGGTTTCTCATACAGCATCTCTATATAGTATGTGTATTCACCAGGTATTCACTGTCTGTCCTAAATGGCTTGTTGGATCTCCTTCCCCCCCCCTCCCTGTGAGCCCAGTGTGCTCTGATTGGTCGGGACGTTGCGAGGCTCGTTGCTACGAGGAGCAGACAGGCTTCCGGGTCGGCGATACAGCGAGAACAAGCGAAACTCATCCTGAGCACACACAAACACTCACAGCTGAAGTAAAAACAATAAGTGTGACTTGATATTGAGTAAGAAAAAGATTTATAACGCTGTGAGAATGGGTCTGCGCAGAGCATTTCTCCGCGATCCCAACTCGTCTATTACCAGCGTTCAGGGACTCTCTGTTATAGCCAAGGGATCCCGGTGTGTGAGGTGCTCATTTGTTGTTGATTTGGGTGTTCACACATCACAGAACCCAGGAAGCAAACAATGGAAAATGAGAAATCTCCAACGAGGCAGCATAGACAGGTATTTTCTATGTTAGAGTTTTACTTGCTACAGGGTGTACTTTGAGGGGTTTTGACTCTGCAGACCGTTTACATGCATAAAAATCTTCATAAAACACAAGGGGACGGGTAATAACCGGAAAATCATGACATGGGCCCTTTAAGCATATTACTTTTCTGGCATGTCCTGTTGGCTGTCAAAGACCACATATATCCTGTTTTATCCCTGATTGGGAAGTGGCCAAAAGTGATATATGCTTGAGACCAACAGCCACCATCATGGTCAAGAGCGGAAACAATGATTGGTGGATGTGGCGTAGGCTTTTCTCATCACACATTGTCTTGTTATGAGTTTAACAGAGATATTTTATGTGTAACTAATATGTGTTCTTCGTGTGTTACAGGCCACTGATAAGGACACTGGGAATTACAGTCAGAATGCGTACCGCCTGATTATCCCGCCCACACCAGAGGGCCAGGACAGCTTCGTCATAGAGACCTACACCGGTATCATCAAATCAGCCACGATGTTTAGAAATATGCGCAGGTCTTATTTCACGTTTGAAGTTATTGCAACAGACGACTATGGAAAAGGTCTCAGCAGCAGTGCCGATGTGGTGGTATGTATCCAGTGCCTTTCATAGTGTATCTGTTTGTACTTATCAAATACATAATTCACATACTGTACTGCTCTTTGTGTGTGTTGGTGAAAGCTCTGTGTTAGTCCTTGACTTATATGTCAGCCGCGCAGCAGAGACATATTGATTTCACGTTGTATGTCGCTGTCACAGCATGGTATCTCTACAGAGAACTGGCCTTTGAAATATGGAATGGGTTTGCAATGTCACCCGTCTGTAATTCATTGATGCAGGAGAGCCTTATCAAAGGGGCATTCCACCCATTTTACACGTCAATGTCTGTCAAGCCCTTGGGTATATTTGCAGTTTCCCCGCTTGAAAGGGATGGTACAGTCCATAGGAGGTTTTAACTGGGTTTCACTTGTACAATGACCACAACTTTGTTTCTTTTGAGTTCTTCTTTACTTTTGTTTTTGTTGTTGCAGTACAGCTTGTGGAGGAAACTTCTGTGTAGCAATGCAGTGGGAGTCACTGACTCATGAAGGAGACGAGCAGGAGTTCTGATGTCAAACACTGATATTTAATACAAGCATCGGCCGGAGAAATTCACATCACAAGTCACACAGTCAAAGGTTCTGACTGCACGGGTGGTTTGCCATGTCAAATCTGATCAGCCTCGCATCTTGGTAGACCTTTTAACTAGTTTACAGAGAGTCAAATCCACATATTGGGGATGGGCGTAAACCATGGCGTAAACACATCTGCAGACACACAGGAGATGTCTCTCCCATCTCTGGAGTTTAGAAGCTAGCGTTCTCACACTCGCAAAACGTCCCTATGCCCTGTAGGTCAAGCTGTAAAACCTAGTATCAACATACGACTGCATCAACACATTCCTTACGGGAGATTAGAAGCAGGGATGGTCGTACATGTCAACACACAAAATAAGGTTAAATGTCTGAGTAAGGACAAAATGAATCCCTAACACAGTTTATGTAGTAAGGTTGTAAGGTAAAAAACCTTAAATTAAAAATTATTACTGTAAATACAATGCACATCAAATAATAAATGCAAAAATACATGCTTTACATATACTTTTTAACACTTGTGAATATTGTTTTTACTTTCTTAGTGTATTTTTATGAACTATGTTTTTAACTTATGCAGTCTCATTAAAAATGCAAATATAATAGACTGAATTTTTAGCAGCATTCAAACCGTTTTTATCAATCTACATCTCTCAATAAACAAATCACATTCGTTTTTAAATCAACAATCATGTTGCTTTAGCTTGAGGACATCAAACAAACAAATGACACTGAACTAGAACGCACGTTCTAACGTGTGCCACGAACGGCAAGTTGTATGACTCTTAACTAAACACACAGTTTTTCTCTCACTGGCCGCTTCTCCAGCTTGTTATGGCTGTACCAGTGCTGCTTCTTTGACGTTTCTTCTGCTGGTTCGTTGCTGCTGCTGGACGCACGCTTTTTAGTTTGTCCCTCTCCAGCTTTGATTACTGCCCTTCTTTCAGGTGCGGTGCTTTTAAAAGGTGCAGCGATGCTGATTAGCAATTAGGGAATGGTTTTAGACAGCTGCCACTCTGTCAATCAGCCCGACTTTTTAACCCTTTGATCTCCTGTGAGGATTTTCCAAGTTGACTTCACAATGTCAATTTAATAGTCATTGAGGGACTGCTGCGCAACCTATAAAATAATGTTGAGTAAGGTCTTCTGTGGCTTTGGAGGAGCTTTGTCAAGTCTGAGAAAATGTAAAATGACATCAGTTAAGTTACTTGGATTGGACTTTTGAGGTTTAAAAGTAAAAGGTTCAATACTTTGAGAAATAGGCTTCTTGCTTTCTGGCAGACTTAGATGAGAAGATTGAATCCACTCTCATGTCTGCACGATAATATGAAATCATTTAATAACTCTGTCAGTTTATCAAAAGATGCCTACCACGAAGAACAACCATGTGTATATTTATTTTTTGTCATTTTTCTTCATTGAGATAATGTGTTTTTGATTTTGTTTACTCAATGCTAAATGTTTTGGTTCCAGTCTCTTTAATTATTTGCAGTAGTTACAAGACACACAGTATGTGGCCTCTGCCGGTCGCTGATATTCCAATTAGATTTTCTTTCAGCCATACAATATGTGTGTCTGTTTGTGTCAGTGTGCATGTCTTTGTGTCACTTGCCTTTGTACAATTTCTATTTTTACAATAATTACCCCACACATATGCTGTGATTGGGCACAGCTTTGGCCCCAATTCAATGTTTATCTTTCCTTACTGTGGGAAGGCTTATTTTTCATTTCAGTGAAAAATGTCTGGCTAACAAGCCTCTAACGAGACAGCAGGAGGGTCTGGGACATTGCCTGCATATGAGAGAGCAGCGAGTGCGTAACCATGGTGCTCGTTAATTTTCAAGGCAAACCTAATTTTACAGGATTCACATGGGAAATTTGACTTCACAGCACAGAGGTTGTTGCCTATTCGCTTTACTGCGGCATTAGCATAAAGTCCTGTTATGTTAGCTGCATCGATCTCACCGATATAAGCAGGTAATGAGAGGGTCCCACTGGCTCTAACGATCAAACGTTCAGTAGGACACATGTGACATAATGGCTTAATCGCTATTTATCTATATTTTCTCCTGTTTGTCTTACCTCCTGGTCATTTATTTATTTCCCTCTTTCTTACTATCTCTCAGGTTTCTGTGGTCAACGCGTTGGACATGCAGGTTGTTGTGTCCACTGTCCCACCCCATTTAGTGGAGGAGCATAGGGAAGAGCTCATTCGGTAAGACAGCATTTACTATGATTCAAATACGAACAGAAAAAATGCTCAGTCAAATGAGAAAAACAATGTCTATGTTTGCATAATGCTTGGTGTGAAAGTTGGTGTTACATTTAATATAAAACAAGTTACTTTGTTATAGGAACGTTTAACAGTCGGAAATAGTTTTCCTTTCAACATGCCTGTTACCTCATCCTTTATCCCACTCTCGTCAATGTAGCAAATTATTTTCAGTACATTCCTTTGCCCTCTAAAACTCTTTTGTTAATTGATTCAGGGAAAATTGGACACTGGAAAATTAATTGCAACGTTTTGAGCAGAGCTATGATATGAGGTGAACTTGGTTCAAGGTGGTACCTTAATTTGTGTAACAAATCATTGTTGAAGGCCTGGAATTATATGTATGATTTTTCCTCACAATTATAAATAAACAGGAACTAACAAGATTTAACGTTATCTACAACATGTTTGTTGTTGTTCAATAACTATTGACCAATAAATTAAGAGATAGCCAATGAGACTCTTTTTTCTACAGACGGCTTTCCTTGTCCAAAATTAAATCATGATAGAGATTTATGAAACATCTTTTTGCAGCTCTTGGGGCACCGTGTTTAGTCTAATTAGTCAATCTGAAAGGCAAATGGGTGTTAATACTTTTTTTTCAAGGGCATGCTGCGTTGTGACTCGGCTCTTTAGGCTGAAAAACACACAAATTAGTCATGTTAAGCTCCTTGCAGTGCTGACATTTGAGAGGTCTGTGATTTCGCACAGTGCTGGTGATGATCCAGGACCATTTTACCTGAGCGCTCAAACTGTTTATCAACCTTGGCAGAGGCAGACGGCCAGGCTTTCTTTTATTGGCCGTAATTTAAGGTGTGGATTCCTCCCCGCCTGAAAGGATTATCAAGCCTTGCTTTGCCAAGTGCCTAGTGTGGGGAAGCAGAATGCAACCCAATGGGACAATCATTGCCAGAAAGGCGTACTTAAGTTTGGTGGCTCTCATATTGCTTTGGGCGCAGAGGTCCAAGAAATGGTTTGAACTAATACAAACCTGGATGTTTTGCTTGTATAAGGTTTTGTTCTACTCCTCTACTGCTTTCTTCATAAAGTTTGACCTGTGTTTTTCTGTTCATCTTAGTATTTTGGAGCGCCACGTCCAGGATCAGATTCCCGGGGCCAAGGTGATTGTGGAGTCAATTGGTCCACGTCGTCATGGCGATGGCTTTGAACTCGAGGACTACAGTAAATCGGACCTGATGGTGTACGCCATTGACCCGCTTACCAACAGGGCCATTTCACCCAAGGAGCTCTTCAAGTAAGTGAGAGTTTTATTTTATTACAAGAAGTACAGTCCACCCTGCAGTCTCTCTTTGCCCTCTGTCTATAAAGTGAGTCAGCAGGCCCCCCATGGCTTCTTCCTCTACAGTTTCCCGTTTTTTTCTCTGCCTCTACTTTCTTTATAAAACTTTGATTATCCTGCAGGCGCACCAAATCTTCTATGTCATCGAAAAAGACAGAGGAAAAGGAGAGGGGTGAGGTTAGGGAGTTACCACAGGAGATTGTAGCAGGGAGTATTTAAGTCGGTCCATTTAACCTGCTATACCAGTACTTTAAAGAGCCTGGAGATATGCCAGCAAAACATTTGTATTGCTTTTGTTGGGGAGAGGAGACAGAGTATGTGTGCTGAAGCCTTCTTTAACCACTGAAGGCCCTGTTCACATGCTATTAAAGCGCCAAGAAAAAAGTCTTACATGACACTTTTTCATCACTTTCAAAGAAAAATGACCTGAGCTGGCGTCTCAGGACAATCCCACCTTTCACATATTTCCTTGCCCTTCTGTCAAACCAATCAGACTCCTATCTTGAAAAGGAAAGTCCACCAGAGCATGAGAGTTGCCAATCAATAGGAAACCCCCCCCTTCTAAGTTGTCCCCTTCACTCTCAACAACCTTGCCCCCCTGCTTGCTTACATTGATCTATATATCGATGTATTTACTCCTCCTCACTCATTGTAACTGCCAACTCTGTTTGTGTGTTGCTGTTAAACCTCCCTCTGAGTGAGACTGTCACCATTGCAGTTCAAGTGGAAGTCATCCATTCACATGACGTTTAGAGGTGCATTGTGTATGTACTGAATTAATCTATGGACATTATCTACGTGTCCTTGACGATTGGAGGATTGCTTCAATGGGTTTTAAGTGGGGGTTTGAGGCTGAAAGCCATTGAAAGTGTGGAACTTGTGTCATAAGAACAGCTTTTTTCAAAGACCATAAGTAGTGGCCATCAGCTTATTTTAAAAAAGAAGCTTACTACATTCCTGCTTTACTGTAAATCGCTTCCTTAGATACAGATACTGTCAGAAAAATCCTTCAGGCTAAAGGAGCAAATGCTTTTAATGCAGTCAGGGCATGTCTCACAATGTTGTGGGGTAATTGCATGTAGTATATCTTCCACTTTGCTGGCAGATCACATAAGAAGAAAGAATAAGATGGCAGTGAGTGTATTCTTGCTTTAAAGAGTGTCCTTATGCCACCTTGAAGACAACTCTCTCTACCATTTTACCTTTTTTAGAGGAAAGATTGGGAAGCCAGTTGATAACATTGATTCCCCCTCAATTATGTATCTATAGAAAAACAAAAATGATAGTAATTGGATGTGGCAGTGTGCTCACTCCTTTTGTGAAAGCCACACTGGCGTTTGATACAAAATAACATTTGAAAAACAGCAGTATCTGGAATTGTTTCTCTAAACTCTGAAGTATGAATCAACACATTTGGTAGAAAGTACATACTCAGAAGTGTATGTCCTATTGAGAAATCGTATACAATTTAGGATTAAAAAAATCAACATTTCTATGAGTTTTATGCAGATCCCCAGTTGCAGCATTTACCGTATAATATGTTGATCTAAATTACAGCAAAAGCTTGAAATAATTATCTCAGCTAATGAGATAATTAACCTGCAAATACGTTTTTGTTTGGGCCACTTGAGCACAGCTGAAACAAGTGGTAAACACAAACATTGACATCCCCTTTCATCAAAACAACCTTATCATTCAATTGGTGATCTCTTTTAGCTCTGATTTGGTCTCTACCAATTTTTAGGAAAATGTCTGGCTTCTTATGTTTTCACTAGTCGCCTACTGTGTCATCTGCTATACATAAGAAGTATACAGTGGGTGTTTATAGCTTCACCCCTGCACCAATCTGCTTGCTACAGTAAAAAAAACAAAGTGAGAGTTAAAACAGTGGTAAAATATAGACAATGATGTGAAACACACTATAAAACTAGTTATAGCCTAGCTACAGATTGAAGGGATACTTCTCTGTAGATTCATCCTTACAAGAGACCACTTTTACATTGTCTAATTTTTTTGACATCATCTTTTTGAACATTGTTTTTACAAAATATATATTATAGCTGCTATAAAATACATACACAAAGAGTTTGCAACATAAGGATTAAGAGTAACAACTGCACTGCTACAAAAACAATATTCTCCTGTTATTTGTGTTATAAATCACAGGTTTCTTGATGGGAATGTGCTGGAAATCAACAAGGAGTTTCAGCCATTACTTGGTGAGGGAGGCCGCATCCTGGAGATCCGCTCCCCAGATATCGTGGCCAGTGTGAAGAAGGCGGCCCAGGCGGTGGGCTACACAGAGGGGGCTCTCCTGGCCCTGGCCATCATCATCATCCTCTGCTGCATCCCTGCCATCCTCATCGTCATGGTCACCTACAAACAGTGAGTACCCTCGCCACTGTGATCATCGCTGGCTTCTGTAACCGATTAATCATATTTAACCAGTTGTCAGGAAATTAAGAGGGGAATACATTTTCATTAGACGGACGATTGCCTTGGGTGACTTGTGTAACACCCGGTTTTAGTTGAAGCGCTTGCTTTTCACATACCACTCGGATATTTATTGCTGTAATTTAAACCTTTGTGTTGATCCTGTACCCTGTGGCATGTTGGAATAGACCCAGCAAAACCACAAAAAGCTTGGTTGAAAGGTGTATTAGTCAAGTATTTAAGATAAACCGGGAGCACTCCTTGCTTTGTTGCTGCCTTTTTGTGTTTCTTTCTCTCTCGCCCTCTTATCTCTGTCTCTCTCTCTTTCATAAGATATGCTGACTGTGCACTCTGCTGGGCTAATCTTCCTGCTCATGCTCTGTGAAAGCAGATTAATTAACACTCATTTGTGACAAATATCTACAGCCAATTGTGACCGTCACAGTGCATCTTCACGCTACTTAATCATATCTGCTTTACACACACACAATAAACAGTGTCTGGCTTGCATTATCTCTCATTCACACACACACACACACACATTGTGCAGTTTACAGAAGTATAATGGTTGTTTTTTAAAGGTGAGGTAGTTTAACTCTTAGGTCGCACAACCTTATGCCGTCTAATTGTTGGCATGCTGCAAATGTTCCCTAAATGGTGATGTTTGGGAAATGTTTATTGACGGCAGATGGGCAGAGTGGCTGTCCTTACGCAAATCCACAGACTAAACAGACAGCAGAAAGCTGTTCGTGGTGACATTAGACCTAACACCCAAACTGTCACAGCAGATGGCATTTTGTTGGTGGCGTATTTACTTTCGTAAAAATTAAACTGATTTAGGAAATCATTTTTTGTGTTAACACAATTTGCTGTAACCTTTTGGAATGAGCGTAATTTTTTTAAAGTGTATCTGTGTATTCATGTGGAATAATTGAATTTTGTTTTGAATAAGTAATGGTGACATGAAGCATAGAAGATACACTTAAAAAGAAAGCAACGGCCACTTTTTCATGTTGCCTTGCAGTCACTGCTCGAGGCTTGGCTGCTTTGCATAGAAATGGGAACGAAAGTGTTTGAAGTATTTCCCTGTTTTGTTGTTGAAGAGAAAAACATATGTTATACAAAGATTTTTCATTTTCTGTGTAAGGATTGCATTAACAACGTCCATTATTCAATTAACATCGTATGGGGTTACGCTCTTGACAAATGATGTAATTATTTGTTTCTTTTGTCCCCTATCTCCCTCTTCCTCTGTCTCCTCTCCTTTTTTCTGAATCAAAATCTATCGCCAGGTTCAAAGAGTAAGTAATTATTCTTGTGTTTTACAACTCGTCGCTTTTCATGTATCAAGTGTGTGTGAGAAGTAAAATTGTTCTCATCTTCATTAATCATTAGTGATTAAAATATGTGTAAAGATAATGAGATAAATGCATGCTACATAATGTCACCCTTTTTTAAATGTTTTCCAGAATATAATATAAAGCAACACTAATTTATCTTGTACCTTTTATAGAATGATTTTCTTATCATGTTGATATCAAGCTGATGACATTCGAAAGGAAAATCAACCCAAAGTCAAAAAGACTTATATCTCTGCGCTTATACCCGCTTACTGACCTCTAACAGTACGCTCGTCACTCTGTTGAAAGCTCCTGATCTGTGACCCATCATCTCTCACAGCCCTGCTAGTTAAAATATAATTGCACAGCATGTAAATCTGAAAATAGATAGCTGAAAACAAATCGCAGCATCTACAATGACCTTTCAATTGTTCGGTGTCAGAATACTTAATGTCCTTTTTACGAACTTCGTGGATATCTACAGGTATTTTTCTCAAAAGATACTTTATGATCTGATTAAAATATGTTCATAACCTCATTGTTCTAAAACTGTGCAGCTTTTAGGGTTAATATGCAGTTGGTGAACAGAGTTAAACAAGCTATAAGACAGATACAACAATTTTGATAACAATCTAAAATGGCAATACATATTGGACTAACAGACTGGTTTGCTAGCATGTTAACCTTAAGATTTCAATCAATGTATTAAAAGGTTTGGTGAGTTAAGTAAAAATATGATTCCAATGCTCAGTACTTATAGTCTCTTATAGTACTTTATTATGGTATCTTCTTCGACTGGTAAAAAGTTGCAGCTCTATATAAAATAAGAATAGATGTTAGCTATCTTCATCCAACAAAATCAAGTTATTCTTTTTTATTCTAAAAACTGAACATAACAGTAACTTTAGTTTTACCGCCTCTTACTGCATGTGCTTCTTTTTCGCAAAAATAGTTAATTCATGGTAGACTTCATGCATAAGTGATGTGCCAGGCTTCTACTCACTTTTTAACCACACTGTTTGAGTAAAGAGGAGTTCATTCTTAACTAGATTAAATATAAATGAGGCAAAGACTTTTATGTTGGGTTGATTTTTCTTTGTATGCTTGTGTATGAGTTCGTTTTTTCTCATTTATTCCTTTTTGCATGTGGACTAGAAACACATATCTGGGTGATTGTAAATGTTAACACTTTGCACAGGCGACAGGCAGAGTGTGCCAAAACTGCCAGGATTCAGATGGCTTTACCACCAGGAGGGAAAGCAGCTCCAGCAGCTGCTCCCACTGCTAACCTTTACGAGGAGCTTGGCGACAGCACCAGGTAGGTTAAACCTGACCCTTTATTATCTCTCACCCATTCCACCCATTCCTATGATAAGCAGGAACTAGCTCTGCAGGTCCCTTTTTTCATTTCTGGGGGAAATAACTCAGAATAAATGCCTTCCGGTTGAATGCTACACTATTTTCCTGGTTTTCACACCAACTTTTCTTGAGAATGCATAATCAAATGCCTCCTAATAACAGCTGGCAGCTCTGCAGGTTGACCTTAGTCCTCCACCTGCTGCTTTAGACACAGCAGTGCCTGCATCAATGGGTGCTCTTTGTCTTCCAACTTTAGATGTCTGAAAACAGGAATGGATGCTGCTGCACAACTAGGGTTTAGACTTTATTTTATTTTAGAGCATGTATGTGCTCATATTTGACATTGTATACATTTGTGCACAACCCTCTAAAGGTAAGAGTGTATTGAGGTATACAAGATAGCCTTTCATTTTCTTTTAACATTTTGATTTCTTCTTACAAAATTATTCGGTAGTATGATTAAGGCATGTTTAAGGCACTGTATATATCTGATTATGCATATCTCCATAACTGATCCTTTTGATGAATACAGGTTGCTTGTAAATTGTATTATCTTGGAGAAAAAAAACATTCAGCTGATGATTAATAATAAACAGTAATAACAGCTGTAAGGCAGTGTTAGATGTAACAAATACAAAATATGGCATGTGCTTAGTCATTGATTTTTATAAATCTTCCAACAATTTATACCTACATTGAATGATTCCTGAGCTTACCTTTATTTTCAGAGTGTTTGGCTATCCAATTTCACCTTTCATTTATAATAGTATCCCTAAAGTGTAATGAAATATGAATGTCTGCTGATTAAATGAGGTTGAATTGAAACTGCTGCCCTGCTAGGATTAATCCTTTTCATTTACATAATGTTTAAAGAAATACTACTACTACCATCACTATTGCTGTTGAAAACTGAAAATGGAAATGTAACGGCAAGCTGTAAAGAATGTTTACAACAGATGTTGACCAACACTCAACAACAAGCAGAAGCTTTTGATTCTGTAGCAGGAGAAAAGCTCTCTTGGGGATCGTATTGCTGCCGAGCAACATTTATTTGGGGGCTATGCTAGGAACAAGAACATTTCCTATAAACAACCACATTAAAAGACTTTGAAACGGCATGTTTATAACAAAGTTTTCTATGCTGAGAGTGTGTGTGTGTGTGTGTGTGTGCGTGCGTGCGTGCGTGCGTGCGTGAACGGTTTTGCATATTCTCAAATGCACACAAATAAATCAGTACAGTATTGACGTACCCTTGAGCTTACGCTTCCACACCCATGACATTTCTGCTTTAGTCTTTTTACCATATGTCTGTGTTTCTATCTTCTCCATCATTTCTATTCCCTTGTCTCTCTGGATTCAGACTGCAGTAAGTAATCCCAAACCAAATGGGATCTATCTTGCTGAGTATATGCATATTCAATTTATAGATACAATTTTCGTAAATGTACCTTATATTCCTATGCTAGAATTATTCCTTTATTATTAATACCCTTGTGCAAAAATTCAATTTAAAATGGCCTATCCTGTTATAGTTAATTGTAATTGTGGTAACAGATGGTAGCTGTTTTTCAAAGCTTCAATAAACCCCTTACTATGTAGTCAGAAAAGCGGTAGTGCACTCAAGTAGATATGCCTATAGCTGTTTCCGCTCTACCTTCCCATTAGATATCAACAACTTTTGTGCTATGTCGCTCTTACTTTCACATCTGTTAGTGTTGTGACTGATTGCACTAATGCATCCAATATGGCTTAATGATGGTAATGATTTGCATTAAACTGTATCTGAAGACCATAGCCCAGCCTATTTTGGGGCATAATTGCTATTTCAATATTAAAGAGCATCAGATTTGTATTATTCATCATAAGCTTAGAAAGTTATTTAAAACTAATCTATGTTTATAAAATTGAGAAACAAGCATATATCTGTTGGTCCAGGGTGTGCAGATGTTCTTAATAACAGTCACAATACTAAGGGTCATATTTCAGTTAAGATGCAGAATAAAATGATAGCGGTTTTGCTTTGCCTCACCCTCTGTTCTTTTGCTTTGCTCATCCTTTAACTTTCACTTGTTTCAAGTCTTTTTTCTTTTTCACCGCAACCTTTTACTGGGGCAGGGCTAACAAGTCTGTCATTGCGGAAGCGAACCACCAGAGGATTCTTAGCAACTTTGCCTGTCGCTCCATGGCAGCCCACGGCAACGGAGCATTGCATGTCGACTTGCCTAAGTCAGAGAGCAACGTGACCTTCCTGTCGGATCACAACCCACTTACCACTCACAACCCAGTGTACGATGACAACAGCCCCCTCAGCAGTCCTGAGGCCTTTCCACGTGGGGAGAGTTCCTCTGAAAAGCGGTTCTCCTTTTCTCCCCCATACTCTGCAGGGTCAGACAGTGTCTGGTCGATGCCTGCTCACATTCACGGGGGGCTGCAGGGTTGTGACGGGCCAAGGAGACCATCACTTATGGACCCAGATGAGTGGGAGCTTCAAATACTCCAAGCAGAAATGAGCAGCAGGCGAAGGCTAGAGAGTTCGAGCACACTTTGCATGAACAGCAGCACAGAGGCCAAGTTGTCAGTTCGTGATCAGGCCAGGCAGTTTGAGCAGCAGGCCCTCCTGGAACAAACCCTCAAGCAAAACTGGGGCTCCCAAGGCTCCCTTTCTACCATCCTTGTTAGTGATAGAGACAGTGATGATGTTCTGGAGCTGACCTCAGAAACTCTGTTCTCTATCATGGACTATTCTTACAGGCCCACTTCTGTGGGCAAGGATGTGCCCCCCAGCATCATTATTGCTCAGGGGGATGACTCGTTGCCCCTGGTTGGTCAGAGACAGACTCCACCCGGCCTGAGGAAGTTTAGCCCCAGCTACATGACAGATCAACCATGTAAGATCACTGTGGAGATCATACCAGATCCACCAGAAAATCCCCCGCCTCCTCCTCCGCGGCCACCTCCACATGCCCCACCCACACTTCCTCCCTCCAGTCCACCTTCTTCTCCTCCTTCAACACTCTGCTCTCCTAAACCTCAAAATACCCCTCAATCCTCTCCTCCTCCAGCCAATAAACGGGTTGCGCCCCAACCTCCACCGCCTCTTCCTTCCTTACCTTTCCCCGCTATCAGCAACCACTCGCGCCCAGTTGTCCATTTTCTCCCAACCACTTTGCCGCCCGTGTCCTCACTTCGCCCTGTTTCAGAACGAAAACATCCTGCTCGTCTTGACCAATATCAAGCTGATATCAGGAAGAGGGAGCTTAAAGGGATCCTGAAAAACATTGAGAATCTAGCCGACATAGAGAGGTCTGTTGCCAACCTGTACAGCCAAGTCGACAAAACCTGCAAGGTGCCCAAGTTTAATAAGAAACCACAAATGACTGAAGAATCAGAAGGTGCTAACAGACTGCAGAGCTCTGATCCCTGCGATGAGCAGAGCACGCCAAAAACAACCAACTCCAGCTTTGCAGGCCAAATCAACCCAACAACAAGTATGAACCGTGTTGAAAATGGACCAAGTGAACTGAATATGGCAGGAGACACTCAGCAGCCAAGCCAATTGAAAAGCCCAAATAGAGATGAGGACTCTCAATCAACAGTGCTTTGACTTTTTCTCTCTGTCTCCACACGCTCATATTTTCCATTTATTCATGTTCATGCCTGCTTTTCTGTTGTTACTTAATAATCATTATTTTCTGCACAGTGGGTAGTGTTCAGTTTAAGCTTTAGCAAAGATGATGTTGACTGTTTGTCTTTCGGAAATAATGCTTTTTTACTTGGAAATCTAATTATAGTGCCACCTGCCAAGAAATGTACTCAGCTCTGCCATACGATTTGCTTACAGGCTTGTATTAGTACATAAAAGAGGCTTGCATATACAGCATTAGTTTGGCTCAGTGCATTTGCTATGAGATCTATGATAACCATACCCTTGAATTATCAGTTTAGTCAGTTCATCATGATATTAGCATGTTATTTCAGTTAATTATCTTAGCATAAGCACTTCTTAACTAAAGCTACTTAAATGAAATTTCACTAAACAGCAACATGTATTATTCCCGCAACCCTGGGGTCTGTTTCCTCAACCGTTTACTGTCTGCATATTGGTGATTTTTAATTTGTTCTTTTTCACATAAGTGAAGAGCATGGGCATTTAGTATGTTGTTGCTCTGTGCAGAATCTAAATGAAGCAAAAGAAGAAAACATAATGTTGGATGTTTTATTTTTTTTAATGAGGGAAATGTACATAGCGTTTAAGAATGTCCCATAGGTATGCAAATACTATGAAATGAGCTTTGAAGAATTCAGAAAGGATGATTGCATATTTGTGTTTTTAACATATTCAGGATGTTGTTGCAGTGGTGTTTTTAACAAACGACTTACTGTGATGGATGGATGTAAGACACTATCCTTACAGATGTATAAAACAGCAAAAGAGAGAGACAACTAATTGTCATATCCACCCCCTCAGCAAGGAAACAAAATACACATATAAAAAGCGAATATATAAACTACATTCAAATTGAACAAATTAGATACAACACTAAGGCAGGCTACAGGAAACCCTTTTAGTTAAATATAATACAGTTGAATGCAGATAAGATGGGGCTATGCACTTCTAAGTGAGAACATCTTCTAATGTTGATTGTAACATTGACTATAAAAACACATTGACAGGGTCTCCCGGCTCATGTTGAACGAGGAGAGCTAACCTCTGGAGGACCTGCCTTTTCACATGTCTACAGAAATCCTCCCAGCATGATAAAGTAGTCACTGTGATGTTCGGCTGCACACTTGAAGAGGCTAATTAGAGAACCAATCAATCGTTAACTAGGGCCGCTGCCTGTGGGACTGTCAAGTACTGTTACCTTCTCCTTTTCTCTCCCTTCTCTCCGACCTTCTGCCTTCACCATTTGTCTGTGTTTCTCTCTCTATCTCACTTCCTCTCCCCCTGTAGTTAGTTCTAATACTTTCAATCCGTAGCCTCTTCTTGTTAATCTTCTCTTGTGGTTCTCGGGAGATTATATTACCTTCTTTACACTCATTGCAATGCGTGTCTCTGTCCCCCTCTCTCTTCCTTTTCTCCCACATACCCTTCATGTGTTTGTTTTAGCGTCCATGCCCTAAGGCAAATGGTCTTAGCATACCTCCCTTCCAGAGCAATGTTATGTTTGATTCATCACACATTCCCCGATGGGCAGATCGAAGGCCTGCTAATTCTGTATTCCATGTTCACTACATGGGGCAATCTCTTTTTTAGAAAGGCAAGCGGCTCACATGCAGTTTTTCAACCCAAGGAACAGTGAGCCCTAATGGATGGTATTCTTTATATTCCATTGTTTCCAACTGATTTTTATCAAACTCTATTGTGTCTTGAATCATTGCAGTGTCTCAAAAAGAATCAAAAGTAATTACCAAGCTTAAGACTAAAAGTATGCTTTGGGTAGAAATGTCTCAAATTAACCATAATAATTTGTTTAAAAAAAAATACAAAACAAAGACCTAAGATAGTATACAATAGATTAGGTTCATTATTATTCCTTATTATTCATATTCACACAAAATGCTTATCAGAGAGATCCTGTGTTGCATTAAAACATCCCCCTGCTCTTACACCTCATAGTGCATGATATTTTTGTTATTGTTCAACATTTGGGGAATACGTTGATTCGCTTTTGTACCGAGAGTTTGATAAGAATATCAATAGCTCTCTCACACAGGAGAGTGGTATCAACTCTTGACAAGCATACTTCATAAAATTCTAAACTATTCCTATTGATGAATTCTGCTACAAAAGTTTGGTTATATTTGTTTTGTTTCTTAAGGTGTTTATGGCAGCAGAATAAGAAAACGTATTTGTATGCTTTTTCTACATAGAAATATGTAGTGGGAAAATGTGAAGCTAGTTATTTTTGAAGATAACCTTACTTTTATCAATATAATACACTGGGTTCATCAGTATTCAAGTCTTGCTGTAATTCTGAGCTCACCTCTCTCACCTCTTTTTCTATTACATTACCTTATCACCCATCTTCCCCCAAGCCCTTGTGCAAATTTCTTACGGCTGCTGTCCACTGGGTCATTTTTCTCGATATTTCATGAAGAAGCAGTAGCCAGCAGCCAAGCCAACAAGTCATCCATCAGATCCCACTACCATCATCCTCTCTGCCTGGGAGGTGTGGCCATATGGCTGTGCCCTGTCCCCTGGTCCCTGCCCATAATAACTGATTACAGCTCTCCAGAGGAAGCTCACATCATTGCTTTGCCATATATCCAAGTGTGAAAGTCGTCATTATTTATGGTCCCAGACAGGTTACAGTTGTACGCTTGTGAAACTGGAGGGGTTCAGCCGGTCTGCTCCATTACTCGCAGTTTTTCATTGACTTGTACTAAAAGCACTGCAGATGCACTGTTGTCCTCAAGAGCTACCCTGAGTACTTTTTTAATGCGTTTGAGAATCCTAATATTAGCTTACTTCAATTTAGCTTAAAAAGCATTGTCTGTTGAAAAGGACTGGCACATTATTTGTGATAAGCAAAGACAATTTCATTAACTTTGTTTGAGTCCTTTTCACATCTGCTCGAAGATTCTCCAGATATGTCTGTATAAACACTGACTTTTTTCGAATTCCAATCTTCCTCCCCTCTTTGCATTTATTGAATCTTTTTTCCTCCCTGTTTGGATGAGATAACGGGGGAAACAGCCCACACCAGCACGATAACATTGTGGCCTAAGGCACCCTTTTTTAAACTGAACAATATCTGCAACTCTAATTTAACACGTAAAAATGCACAGTAAGTAAAGCTGAAACTTCCTCACTGGTCAGCAGAATGTAGACACGCTAGTCCTGTAGACCAAACATTTCATTTATCTTAAAACACTTAATATTTTGCTGCTGTATTCATTATGTGTTGCATTCCCTCCTTTCTGCGGCACACAGCAAGCGAGGAGGCTACGGCAGACAGGTAAGCATTCCTGTTGTGATGTTTTATTTATTTTTGTTGCATGGAGACATTTTGTCACACTCCAGGCAGTTTACATCCTATTATTCTTATCTACAACTCACTTGATAGAAAGCACTGAATGAGATTAAGATGAGATCCTGATGATAGGACTTCTAACACTGACATTACAGTTTAGCTTTAATTCACAATTCTGTCATAGTCCCCAATGTTTCTGTCAAATAGCAGATAAGAATGTGAGTGTTTCTCCTGAGTTGGAAAACAAAACATAATTACCAAGACAAAAACTCTTTCTTGTTACCTTCAAATAATGAAAGACCAGTAACTGACATACACAAGATGTTTTATTTTTCTGTTGCATTTTCTTACTTACTTTCACTGCCTGGCTTACGTCTTCCCTCTTTTCCTTGCTGTGTTTCCATCAGTATAAAATCGATCTTTCACCTTGCTCCTTCATTGGGATCACATAGATATATTATTGATATACATAAAAGAGGCTTGACTTACATCTGAAATGTGTAGAGTGAACTCTTCCTTATGTTTGTGTCTTTCCTAACCTTCCCTTCCTTTCATTACCTTATCCTTCTTCTGTACTAATCTTTGGCAGCAACAGCAACTGCTGAGGCCATCTCTTCTGAGACCTGAGGTAGAAACCTTCCTGCTTTTCTTAATTCACAGGGATTGTAGTCCATTCTGCTGTATTACTGCTGCTGCTGCTCTTCTTCTTCTGGTTTTCCCTGAAGAGTGCTGAGTAATTTCTTTCTCTGCCTCTCTGAAATACAGGAACTCTCAATGGAGTCAGGTATCGACCCGGGCCAGGACTACTATAATTATGACCAAGGGTGAGCATGCAGCCCTTGACCGTCTCATCTCTCATCAGTCATACTCTCTCGTCCAGGAAGTGATCTCCATTGCTAAAAAAAAAATAATAACCTCGTTAGGACTTTATTATTGTGACCTTGCCTTCCAGCTCCCATTTCTTAGATCCTTGAGGAATGGAGGGAATATTTCCGAAAAATAAATGATGAGCATCACTTGTGGCTTCCCCTTGAGCTTGTACATATCATCAGAGCATTTACCCTTTCTACTCCCATCAAATGAGATCAATTATGCTGCCTTGAGTCAGGCACCTCAGTGTGGAAGTGTTTTTCCATGGTTTAATGAATAGAGGGAGTTTTGGCGTGCCTGTTACATAGCCCATATGGTTTAAAGAGGAAAAACATGCAACTCAAAGCCTTAACAGCTGCTAAGAAATTGTTATTCATTAAAAGCTCCCGCTCTACGGCAGGTGACTTGCACCACAAGTTTATCAAAACTGGAAGATGTTTTTGCAATTGTAAAGGCTTAAAACTGTTAAGTGAAATATGATGAATGTACATATGGAAATGAAGTCTGGTAATTGCCTGTAGTTACTCACCAACTTACCTTACCTAAGCTCTACAAATTACCACAGCTGTTTCTCAGGTTGTCTGAAATACGCTGGCTTTCATTCGCAACAAGATGTAATTATATTTGAATAGTAGGTCACAAAGTTCCAAAAGCTGCTATTGCCAATGAGTGTACCATCACTGTGACCCGATGCCTTTGATGTGCGATGTTCTGTTTGCAGTGAAGGGCACACTTTTACAGCCGTCATGCTTATCATTTAGCAATCAACCGACTGTGTTGTAAGCTCCCCTCATCATGTTCTCAATAAGACAAAATTACCATTGGTCTTTTTCCTTTAGGCTCTTCCCTAATGTATTGTTATAAAGTAAGAAGAGTATCAACATTCAAACTGTTGGAGGCCATCTACCACACTAATGCAGATAACCTAATGGTGGATACATTTTTTTAGTGTTACAACTGTGAAACACTGAAAAAATAGTTTTATGAGTGACTTAAATGGCATATGTTGAAACTGTTCTCTTCAGTAGATTAATAGTCACATTTAACACTCCCCTGATGAAAGCCAAACATGCTCTGGAATAATAATAAAAAACAGCACATTGGAGAAGAGTTATGCAACCATATTTTATGTTTTAATGGGCTTTAGGCATACATTATTACTCAACAAGTTCCCATCTCAACATGTGTTTGCATCTTTGTAATTTATTAAACTCCTTTGACAAAGATGGGCGAATATGTACTCATCTATATTTATTTTAGGATAAGTAGTTTCCGCCTTTTATTTTTCTCTATTATATTGCTCCCAACTTACAAAGTGAATACTAGTGATTTTTGCTAATCTTCACAGAAATGATTGACTATCTTGTTGAAGATATTGCCAATAAAAAAAAGACCAAAAGCAGCAGTGAATGGGGGCAGTGTAATATAGCAACTTGGATTAATAGATTAATTAAATAATCATTAATTTATTTTTGCTGGTTTACTTTAGGAATGAATATAACTATTAATACCAAACGTAATACACATTCTTTCTAAACTCTGTTTTTTTCATATTTATTTTATTTATTTCTCAGGTACGACATTCCTCAGTATGGCAGTAGGAGGAGGCTAATACCTCCAAGGTATGATGAATATGGAGAGGTGATCATGGAGGATGATGAGTATTACTACGGTCCTCGTGGCACTGAGGTATGCCCTTTCCTTACTCTACGTGATAATGTAAAGATTATCTTAACATTGTGTGTGTTTTTTAAACAGCAGTATTAACCCTACAAACATAGTGGCTTTTTGATTCAAATCATTGCTAAATTAAATATGACTGTCTTAGGACCAGGGCAGAGGCAGGGACCGTGGTGGAGGTCCACCTAAGAGGGTTGCATTTAGGGACATGCCAGGGGATGAAATCGAACAAGCTGAGCCAGCAGAGGGGGGCGAGCCTTCTAAGGCTGCCAAGAGACTGAAGTCTGTCATGAAACTCAGCAAACTCCTGGCAGCCAGCAAGGGGGGAGAACAGCCGTCTGATGCCGGTCCTTCTGGCCCATCTCCATGGAAGAAAGCCAAGATGTTCAAGATGTTTGGTGCCGGGAAGAAGGACAAGGATTATGCCAAACTGATGTCAGCCCGCCGCATTGACAGCCAAGAGAGTCTGACAGGCGGACCAGCAGTTATGGGACCAATCGACAGAAAGTCTGATACGCGTAGCAAGCTCGGTAAAGTTTTCAGGAAAATCAACTTAGGCAACAAATTGCAGATACGGAGGAAGTCGAAGAGTAGTGTGAGCCAGGGCTCGGCCACAGGCAGTGAGCGAGACGAGGAGGCTTCACAAGTAGCCAGTGAGGATGACAAGTCTAAAGTGTCAATTAGTGTGACAGAGAGTGAGCCAGAAGCAGGTGCAAGTGGAAGCAGTAAGGAGAAAGACTCTGATGGGGAATCCTCTGAGAGAAGCAGTGTTGACAGAGATTATCTGAAAGTAGACTTGGACCGTGATGATGCCAATGAAAGCACTGTGGACTCAGAGGAAGAGCCTGATGAGGAGCCAGGGGATTCTGATGAGGAAAGTAAGTCAAAATCTGAAGGAGATGAAACGGAGAAGGAATCTATCAGTGAGAAAGAATCTGGGACTGAAGAAGAATCAGATTCGGAAAAAGAGTCAGAGTCAGAGAAGTCGTCGGCTACAGAGAAAGAATCAGAAACCGAGAAAGATTCAGACTCCGAGAAAGAGTCTGAATCTGAGAAAGAATCTGAATCAGGAACAGGCACAGCAACAGAGAAGGAAACAAGCACAGAAAAAGATTCAGGGACAGAGAAAGATTCTGATGAAGAGTCTGAGGAGGAAGAGGGTTCAGGGAGCACTAGAGAAAGTGGGTCTTCTTCCATGAAATCATCAGCTACAGAGTCCAGAAAGGGAAGCAGCGCATCAGGTGCAAGTGGCAGCGGTAATGGCAGTGGCAGTGGCAGCGGGAGTGGTACCAGAGAAAGTGGCAGTGGTAGCACAAGTGGTTCTGCGTCTTTATCTGGTTCAAGTGTTAAGTCATCAAATAGAACCAGATCATCAGGAAGCGCAGTTACCTCCGAGAAGTCTAGTGAAGAACTCAGTGAAGGTGAGTCAGGAACAGGGACCGCCAGCGAGGTAGAGTCAGTGTCAGGAAGTGAAGGCTCTTTATCACGAGGGTCCAGCCAGAGGAACATGTCTGAGTCAGAGTCCGTTGGTGGGTCTTCATCCGTCAGTGAGATGACAGACCAGAGTTCCCTGAGCAACAAGACAGGTACAGCTGGTTCCCGTTCCACCAGTGGCAGTCTGCATTCCCAGAAGTCCAGCCAGAGCCGTGGTTCTGAGGACACAATTACAGAGGAGAGTGAAGAAGAAGACGAGGAAGACTCTGAGACTGCTGACGAGAGCAAAGAGTCAGCCAGCGAGCTCAGTGATGATGCATCAACGGGGAGTTCCAGGAAGGCGTCTGGAGACCCTGGGCCCTCTGCACCCTACACTGGTCCCACTTACAGCTCTGATATCAGAAGCATCGGTAACACCTCTGTAGAGACATACGGAGGACTGTCCCCTATCACTGAGGTGGACGAGGACGCCATCTCCTCTGACAAATCTTCAGTCAGTGGCTCCGGATCTGGCAGTGCATCGAAAGACTCAACAATGTCAGATGCTGATTCAGAATCTGAAGGAAACTCAACTGCCTTCTAGAGAGATATGGTCCACTGTGAAGTAAGAGTGAATAAAATCAATTACCCTTGCATGGGAGTGAAGAATTATTGCTTGCCACTACAGTGTTTCAAGCTTCCACCTTTTCCTCATTTCCATTAAGCAAAACACTTTTGTGGTTTCCTGGTGCAAATGATCAGAGCTCTGCTCTATTTCTTACCTCTCTGACTTCTTCTTCTCTTTGATGTTTCCTTGGTGTTTTTATGCCTTTACATGTTGTATAACATTATGTTCTTGTTTTTGCTGTGAGATTTTGCATGTGACAGTACTATCTGCTTTAACTGAGTGTTTTTTATGTGAGTTTGAAATGATTACTTCTTGGGAACAGTATTATTATTGTCCATAGATTTCTCGCCGTAGATTCAATTCTAACAGAACTGCAGATAGGTAATCAAAAAATTGGATTTCATGTTGTCTAAGGATATTCTTTCATGTTTGAATTGATGTGCTTTAGTAGAACAACAATGTATCTTAAAATATATATTACTGTAATGCCACCATTTAAGGATTGGACTTTAGTATTTGTATGTGTTAATGGTTTTGGGTTAGGCATTTTCAGCACATGATAGTCCTTGAATACATGTGAGCATACATTCCCCCAAAAAACATTTAAATTAACCTAAAAAATATCCAGGCCTTCTTTCTGGGACAAGGGAGTAAAATACTGTGAATACTGTTATCTTGATACTGAGTGTAGAGGGGTGGCCAACCAGTCAGAGGTTAAGAGCCACATGTTTTCTATTTTACTGCAAAGAGCCACATCAAACACACAGTCACTGATACCGCTTGTTTCAGTGTTTTGTTTTCTGGAGACAAGATTTCAACCACGTCACTGATGCATTTTTGTGGCATTGGGATATATTTTTTTTTTTTAATCCTCTGGAGCAGAGAGAGGAGCTGTGGATTATTGTTATTGATTAATGCATCAGTGTTTCTTAGGGTCAAAAACACTAAACTCACAACTTAAAATGAAAGCGTTTAGTTTATTTAATAAAAGCACATGTTCAATGTGAAAAGTGACAGTAGTTATAGATTATTTGCAATTTGGTGCTATATATATATTAAAAAAAAAAAAAAATTATATATATTTTTTAAACACCTTGCATTTCAGGGGGCTTTCAGGGGGCTCCGTTGGCGGGGCGCAGCGCCCCTCCAAGACAATGGTAGGGGAAACACTGGATAGTGTTTAATCAACGATAGGTTTTCCCCCCCTCAAAGGTATTATTATTGTGACTGGCTCTTGGGCCACATCAAAATTAGACGCGCTGTCATCCTCTCATACTGACACCTGACACCACACATACACACGTAGGGAGAGCCGGGACGAAAGTAACACAGGACGAAAGTAACACGGGACAAAAGTAACGGAGCGATTTTATCCGAGCCTAAACAACTTTGACCGGCCAAATTACGTCAGAATTATCAGCATTCAATACTTAACAGACCTACTAAATATCAGGTTTAACTGTCAGGAGTAGCTAGCTAGTGTAACATTTTGTTTTCGATACCAAGTCAAGAATTGCGATTCCGATTATTTTTCGATACTTTTCTTAAATAAAGGGAAACAGTCTTAAATGTAATTATTGTCCTTTATTTCACACCAGAACCATAACACAAACTTTTAAACAATGAGAACAATAAATAAAATAAATGACAAGAATTCGTATTAAATAAAATTAATACATTTCTTACAGACAGGCCTCGTGGTGTCCGTAGGCTTGCCCTCACTGTCAGAGATATAGCTAAAATACTTCCAAATTTTGCTTCTGGCGTCTTTTTTGTCAACAAGCCGAGGCGCAGCGGCAGTTGCACTCCCACTTGCAGCCATGCTTCTCGTTTTCTCACATGCTCTGGCAGCTAGCGCGTGCACGAGAGAGGGGAGGCACTTGAGCGTGCTTGAGAGGGGCGAGACTGCAGGCACGGCTGCAGTGCAGGGAGTGGAAGCAGAGCGCTGAACACACACGGCACTTTCTCACCAGAGTACTTTCCCCCGTCATTCTTAAAGTACCGATACTAATGAAACGGAGGAATAGTAACGTTTTTAACGGCAGGGTATCGCGGTACCTTTCAAGTATCGGTACACCGTGCAACACTAGTCAGGAGTCAGTGTCTCTCCCCCAAACTCACACACATACAATTCGATATGAACTGAAGAGCCGCATGAAACTAGGCAAAGAGCCGCATGCGGCTCGAGAGCCGCGGGTTGGCCACCCCTGGTGTAGAGTATAACTCAGCTAGCTGTCCGCAGTGTATATTCCCCTTTTTTAACGAGAAACGTGTGTATACTATACCTTGTGAAAAGAAAAAAATTATATTTTGACATTGACTCCCTCTATCCTCCTTAGCCTGGGAAAAAGCCACGGATCAAGCTGGTGGTAGATCAGGAGAATGAGACCAGCTCCACAGGAGAAGAGAGCACCACAGAGACACAGAGGAACCGACTCCCCAACAGCCACAGCAACATCAACGGGAACATCTACCTTGCACAGAACGGCACTATTGTCAGAACTAGGAGGCCACCTCACCCAAAAAACTTGAATATGGGCTCTCCTTGTCGGCTTGGTAAGCATTTTAAAAAACTAGACAAGTTGAGTGTGACTTATGAAGAACCCTCTAGCATTATTAGCATTGAGGGCACAGAAAACGAGACAGAAAATGGAACAGGCACATGTGTTCCCCCTAATGTGGACTTCAACCTCAACACTCGGCCCTCCTGTGGCTCCCTTGGATCCTCCATCAACGATCTTAAAAGTTTTGGGTCCAAAACCAATATTGCAAAGGTCTTGATTGACAGAAACAGCAGTGGCCAGTTTGTCAATGAGGAGCAAGAGACTTCGGTTGACAACCACAAGGACAGCAGAGAGACACTGGAGTCCCACAGTGACCACACTTTATCAGACGAGGAGGAGTTATGGATGGGACCCTGGAACAGCCTACACATACCAATGACAAAACTCTGACTGACCATGTAGAAAGTTATTTTAGTTTTTGTTGTTTTCGTATCTTTATCATGTTGTTTTTGTTAAGAAAATGATCATGAAAAAAATGTGTGCCTCAACTGGATAAGCTCCAACCACTGTCAACGACACTTGCACTTCAAGTCAAATTTTATTTAACCATAATACATTATGGCCTATATTCACTAAACGTTTGAATAAGATGGAAATATAGAGTTGCAAGGCAATGGGTGCCTCAAAGAAATCTGAAATTGTATGTGAATAGTACTTGAGTTTTTGTTTTAAACCCTTAATCAAAACACCAGATACGCCTCTTTTATTGAGTGACACCATGTTTTACCTTCTTTTACCAGCCCCACTTTTTTTTATCCTGAAACAGGTCTAAAGAGATTGTTATTCATTTCACTAAATATATTTACAGAGAAATTAAGGTGTGTATATGAAGAAATTGTGATAATATAGTCTATGATAAAGTCAAAGAAAACGTATTTTGCTAATAGCATTTTAACCGCAAATGATTAAGATTGTCAGATTATTTTATGTTGTGATCACTTGACAATGTTTTTGAAAATTTCTGAAAAATATATCAAATTATTTTTGTCTATTTTGTATCTAACAGGGATGGAGAATCTAACATATGACATTAAAGACATAATATCCACATGACTGTTACCGCTGTATTTCAGAGATATGACAGTGTCATCATGGTGTTTTATATGGACATTTGTAACTACAGAATATGGTATTTTCCAAACCTTATATGATGCAGCTTGACTCTATTCATGGTCATGTATTAACTGACACATCAGGCTCCAGAAAGAGGTGGAAAAAGACTATCCAAAAATATACAAGATTCAACAATAAAGTTCTAACCCTATTTACATGTGTATTGAAAAGCATAATTTCAGGCATTGGCCACGTTATCCTTACTTCAATGTCAATGTGCTTTTGGAAAGGGGGTAATGTTGACAGCAACTCAGTTTTGGAAATATTAAAAATGCTTATGTTTGTGAACTATGCAGCAAGTTCATAAAAATACAAAATCTGCAGAAAGAGGTCTGTCAGAAAGAGTCCTTCTCGCAGTGTGCCTCACTTTCTACAGAAGAGAAATGACAAGTCACCAAACACCAAGCACATTCTCTTCATTTGTTTCTCAGTTTATCAGAGATTAACACATCTAACACATCCAGAATGACATTTACAAAAAGTGTCCTGCAGTCAATCAAACTGTGAGAATGCCAATCAAGTTTGCATAGTTCTTTGGAGGCTGAAGTTGAGAAAAGAGCAGGAGCTGAATGCCAGAGTGAAGTAGCTTCAAAAAAGCTGCTCAGAAAATAGGTCAGGAGGGAACCCTTGTTCCCACCACAAAAAGCCTGTTGTCTTTAAGAATCAAAACAAAACTCTGCAAGATGCTGATGGAAGAAGAACAAAATAAAGGTGCAAGACCTGCAGGAGAAGCCTTACAATCAGGATGATTAATTGTCACTTGTTCTTTCTCAAAACATGCCAATTAATTTTTGTATTTTGAAAGACAAGAACAGTGTTCACTGTCTTTAAGAGCCACCGTCTCCATTTTGCATACACACTCTCAGGATCTGCCATTAATGACAGGAGAACAGCACTGTATAAACCATTTTCTGTGCAGATGGGTCTCAGTATAATGCCATTTCTTTAATAAATCTTCCAAAACCTTAAAATGAGAGCCTATCCCGGAAATGGTCACCACTGAAAAAATAATTAGAATATGTAATGCATCTGTGCCCTCGTCTTCTCTAATACAAGGACATACTTCACCAATCTCTTTTTGGAATACTCTCCTGATGAATTGGATTATAGCTGGCTCGACGAATAATGAAAGCGTTTCGACTGAGCATTTCCGTCTGTCACAGGATTATGTCCCAGGCCTTTTTTACTCCCCACCATGATCATCTCACTTAGTAGATTAAATACAGCAGTATGAATGGACATATCCCTGTGGTAATTAATTTTGGCTCGAGGAGAACCCACATACCAATATCTCGTATAATAGGATTTACTTTTTCATTTGCACGTTGCACACCTAAGGAAGTCGGAAGTTTCACTGTTCACTGTCACAACAGTGCAGTTATCGGTAGAGGTGGAAGAAGTACTTAGATCTTGTACTTAAGTAAAAGTAGAAGTACCAGAGTGTAGGAATACTCGGTTACGTAAAAGTGCAATAAAAATGTTACATAAGGAAACGTTTAAAAGTAATAGCATGAAAATATACTTAAAGTACCAAAAGTGAAAGTACTTATTGTGCAAATTGGCCCATTTAAGAATGATATATTGTATGTTTTCGATTATAATTATTGATGCATTAAAGTGTTATCAAAGCTGGTATGTCAGCTAGTTCTAATGACTTTGTATACTGCAGGGTTGTGAATGTACTCCAGGTGTAACTAAGTCTTATTTAAGTGTTGATTATATTGCTAGTGACTGGTGGCAGATAGCTTGCACATCTTCCGGCGCAAACTGAAAACTCATCTCTTTCGACTCCACTTCGAGCGATAGAACTATTAACGAAGCACTTTTATACTAATAAAGGACTGGCTTATCTAAAGCCAGTTGAGTAGCACTTGAAATGTTTTTGCTCTATGAAGCCTGATGTACTTATATGATTCTGTTTTCTTCAAGTTGTATTTTGTTGGTCGAACGCACTTATTGTAAGTCGCTTTGGATAAAAGCGTCAGCTAAATGCAATGTAATGTAATGTAATGTGACTTATCCGACCGGCCCACATCGTCCGACCGGCCCACTTCAGTACCGACCCATCGGGATTCGTCCCGAACGTCCCGATGGCCAGTCCGCCACTGCCTGTAAGTTAACATGTAGATACGTTTAATTGAGTATAGCTGAAAATAAGTCATCATTCAGTTATTAAAATGGCGGACTTGATCAAAAATAATGGAGCTAGCCAAAGTTATGGACATTATTTCACCTTTCTGCATGAATGCAAGTAATTTATTGAGTGGACAAGTTATATATTTTGTTAGAAATTAAAATCAATGTTTGATAGCATAATGTAGCTTAAACATACCGTCAGTTTAAATGCTATTTTATTCTGGAAAAAAACAGAAGTTCTCAATACCAAGCTTTTATTCTGAAAATCCTTCATCTCCGGTTAGCATTTAGCATGTGGCTAATATACCATTTCCTATAGATGTGAATTTAGCAGCGAAATGACATGGAGTGATGCACACCGAAACCTACTGATTTAACACTACAACTAATTGAACCAAGAGATTATTATTGCTGAATATTAAATGAAGGTACAGTTTATTTGAATATGTTATTGTTTACAGACGTGGGTAGCATGTGACAAAATCCGGAACTACCGGAAACAAAATGCTGTGAAGTATTTCCTGTATTTTTTAGTGTTGATTTCAGCGTTTGAAATGTATTTAGATGAAAAGTCATGAAAGAGATTAGGAGGAGAAGAGGCGTGTCTAGTTATATAATGAATGTAAAATGTCGAAATCCTCCGTTTACGCAACATCGGACACAGAAGAACCAGGGGGAAGTCTTCTACGTCACCACCGCCCCTAGAGAGGAGGAGCAAACAGCCAGCAAGCGGGAAGGACGAATGCTTGTGAGGGCTCTTCTGCACGGCCGCCACTGGGAGAGGAAGCTGCAGCCTTTCTCTCCTCGTTAGTAATCTGAATCATCTTCTGCTTGTAACATTACCGCGCCATTTAATTAAAGTACCATTTGAACCTTCTCAGAGACTCCATTTAGTCTCCTTTTAAAGCTTCTCTCCTGGACGCGAGAATAACGAACACAGCATAACAATTTCAGAAATAACTGTTTGGTTGTAGACTGTAAAATAGGCTATAGCTAATTGATGCCATGTTTATATCAACAGAGCGAAGCAATAGGCGCTTTCACACCAAGTACTTTGCCGTACTTAGTTCCCAGTACTTAGTTAATCAGAACTCTTTAGTTCTGAACTTCTGATGAACTAAAGAGCAGATCGCGTTCACACCGGAATAAATCCCTGAGGAAGGATTAGGCAAATTAAGCCGTTGACGTCACTTCTTCTTCTGCTTTGGGTTTACTGGCAGCCGCAAACAACTTTGTGGCGTATACTGCCACCCAGGGGCGCCGTAAGGGGGTGAAAAGTTAGGACGATTCTAAGGGCCCGTGACTGACAGGGGCCCCAAAATGTTTAGAACATTAAGAAAAAAAATGTAAGTAACCTTTCATCAATCCTCAATAATTAACATTAATAGAACGTTATATTGATAAATTACTCACTAAACTTACGATTCATTTAACTTATTTTCTTCCAAAAGTTAATTACCCAAAGCCTCTGTACACCCCCTTCTATTTACATGTAATGGTTTGGTCCTGCCTCCAAACGCGGTGCAGCACCGGCACTTGCAGAGAGTGAAAGCATGTGAGGAGGGATGCTAGTACTTAGCCTACATACGTGTGTTGTACCATGTTTCAACGACCAACAAAGTCAGACTCTAAGAGAAGAGAAAGGAGAGAAAGACAAGAGAGAGGGATTAAAGGGCGACAGTATGTCACCCAGTTTTTCACAAGAAAAGGTGGGTGTGGTCCATGAGTGGTGGAAATTAGTCTGTTAGCTAATGTTTTTTTGTTTACTAAGCTGACATTAAGTACTGTTAATATCTTTACAGAAAATTCAGAGGTCTTTCATTTCACTGCTCTTTTAGCTGACATTTAAAGGTATGGTAGGTAATTCACTTCAGAAACACTTTTTGTTATATTCCATGGAATGCTCAGTCTTAACATCCCGATAGCAATGAATATCTTAAGTGCTTTGACAACAAATACATACAAAAATGTCATCTGTGGAAGCTGTGGTGCTGTAAAAAGCACGACCAATCATCTGAGCCGGCCCAGTTAAAATAACTGGATGGCCTACCTGCCTGTCAGCCTTCCATCTGTGCACAAGCTTATCGCGTGCCCTCATTGGTCATGTGCACGTTCGTGTGTGTTGGAGGAGGGGCTCTGTAAGGAACTCTGAAGGAAGGGGCAGATTTTTTTCAGTTGTGTACTTTCAAATTCTAGCGCACTCGAGCTGGTTTCTCCATTCTTACCTACCTACCTTTAATAAATGCAGGCACATTTTTAGCGCCTATTCATACTAAATCAGTTGTCCCTCCCCCTGGTGCCAGGACCAACAGATCCATCTCTAAGCTCAGCAGCCCTGTCCCCCCATAAGGCTGAACCTGAACCAGCTTTTCTCCCAACTGAAGGAGGTGAGCAGCATTGTGTTGAATGACATGCCACTTAACATATCTGCAGGGAGACTGGAATACAAAATATATATATATATATATATATATATAACAAAAAGCTAACATCTAATTTAAATTATACATTCCAAACAGTATTTTCCCACATAGCCAATGATCTATATAAAACAAAAAACTGCTTTTAGTCTATTTAGGATGATGGACAGTTTGTATTAGGTAAACTAAATGTTAATCACCAACATTTTGGTTATGATATTAATACTAATGTTATTATATTAAAGCAGGGGTGGGGAACCTCCGGCCCCCGGGCCATATACGGACCTCTAGACCATTTGGTACGGCCCTCGAGGTAATTTATAAACAAAGTGACCTGTGCCTGGTGGTGGGGCCCAATGTGATATATTTTCATGGGGCCCAAAATCCCTGGTGGCGCCCCTGCTGCCACCCGAAGTCCCCGGAGTTGGGGACTGGCTTCAGTACCAAGCCCCCAGCAGCGCCGTATACGGCTCTGGCCCCCAGGAAGTGTGCCGGACTCTGATGAAAATAGTCGTTGTGTCCAAACCACGGTACTACAATTTCCGTATCAGTCCGTGACGTCATTGGGCCCAGAAAGACTTTTCCCCATTGACTAACATTGGGAGAGAGACGTCTGTAAATCAGCGGATACTTTTTTTAAACCTAAATAAACTACCCAGTATGAACTATTGTATAGCCCATATTATAATCATTCTGTCCTTAAAGTTGTAAAATGCACTAAAAGCCGAATCTAGATTTATTTTCTCTCTCCATTCATTCTACCGAGACGAGAGGGAGCTCCGGGGGCGGGGCTTAAGGGGCGCATGCTCTGTGAGCGCATATACGGGTTATTCTGCTCTGACAGCCAGGCATGATGGGTAATCTGTGACATTTCGCTCTCTCAAAAGTTGGGCCATTTTGTCCTCATGCGCCAATGAGCAGCTCTCATAAAGAACGAGACCCCGCCTCCCTCCCACGCTGTATCCAGTTCTTATTATACATCCATGGCTGGGACACCCAGCAGCTTCTACTGAAGCCTTCCGAGTAAATCGCTAGAACGCCGACACCTCCTCATCACTCCACCGCTCCACTGTTTTTTTTTGTGTTGCCATAAGTTAGTCTCTCTCCGTTGGTGTGCTGGACTAATGCTAAGTGAGTTTGAGTATGCAGGCTTCTAACTTCAATTGTATTTTCATATTTCAACAGAAGTGTCATGTGTTGCAGCAGAGTGAGCCTTGTTATTTTTGCACACCGGCAAGCACACCTGCTGTGCTCTACAGAAAACCGCAGTCGTCACAGACTCCCAGGTACATTCAAGTCAATTCAAATCAAGTAAAAAACGTATAAAAGACTGAGGTAAAAAACTAGCTACAAGCAAGAGGATTACATGTGGGGAGACCTTCAGCTACGAACAAAAAAAGATTTGTCGATTTATACTGCCACAGAGCAGATTCGTCAAGTTGTAATGACTGATTTGAGAGGTTGTAATAACCAAGTTGCAGTTGTAATGGAAAATATATTTAAAAAATATTTATTTTTCTGCAAGTGAACATTTGATCACTAAGTTAATTATTTTTTTTCTGTGACTTCAAATTTGGTTCACAGTTACGTGGATATTTTATACAAGTGTAAATTTGGTTCAGTGTAAATGTATGCACACAAGCTCAGATTTTTTTTCTGCAAGTGCTCACATCAGGTTTTACACGCTCTCGCATTGTGCACCATATCTACCTTCATACCTGACAGCCCAGCAGCTGATCTCTAAGCACCTCCCCTCTCCTGTAGGGGGGGCGTGGTCAGCTGCAGCTCACAGAATCAGCACCCTGCAAAAACAGCGCTGGAAAGAGCAAATAGAGCGAAATGAGGCATGGCTAAAATGCAGGATCTGTTTGGTATTTTGAAAAACATTTTATACAGCTTTTCATGTTACCGAAAGGAATAATCTTTATGATTGCCCTGTCAACGTTGGATTTGAACAACTGTCTGTCGTCACTGGTGGGTGAAGTTACAGTAGTGCCCCTGAACTTTGCTAGGCCTTTGCTGCATAGGCTACTTGAGCATGTACAGTACGGCCATTAACAGAGTTGCATTCATCAAAATTGGAGAAGGAAGCGCAGGGATTGGAAAGCAGACCTTGAGCCAGTCATCGCCCACGTCATCTTTCGACAACATAAGACTTAGGTTTTCAGAGCAAATGTTTTGCCAACATATTTACAGACACATGGCTCCATGATAGCATCTGTCTACTGTAGTTGAATATGTGAAGAAGGACAGCGCAGGACTCCATGGGACAGGAAGAGGAGGACTCTTTATTTCATCAATGATGCTTGGTGCTGACTGTCGATGGACAGTGTTTCCATGAAGTCACATTTTTGATGCAGCTTCTCAAGCTTACAATTGCCTTTTTATCTGCTGAGAGAATTTACCATTGTTTTGTAGCAGCTGTTTTTTTTATCCTGACGCAAATTTAAAAAATGAACTACGGCAAAGCATTCCTTTTTTTGTTGTCCTTTTTTTTTATCTTATTTTCTTTGTACAGCATATATGGACTAGCTACAACTGAACGTTGTGAAACCCTGTGTTCAGGAATGTCAATTGATGCTCCTTGAACACCCGTCCCTCACTTTTTGTGTCTGTAAATAATTTGGAAAGTAATCTAGGCTTCATACTAAACAGGATATGCAGCAATTCATAAACTGATCAGTGTGGCCAGCAGTATTTCTGTACCCCTGTGTCATAATCTTCACCTCGGGGTTCATTTAAATGTATTTATACCTCCTGACAAAAAGGCTCTCCCACAGTTTATGTGATGTCATCTTCTGAAGCAATCATTCTATAATAGACCTGTAGATGTAAATCATGACAGAAATACTATATTAAGGCGAGACAAGGCAGGCAAAAAGATCGTTTTTCAAGCACTGGTCTATTTTGAGATTTTGTGCTATTTTGATTCTATAACATGTTTTATTTCAGGCTTTTGGAAGGAAAACGTACAAAATACACATTTAAGTGTTTATTTTATTATAGTTTGTCTATTTGCGTCTGTAGATTTCTCTTAAATTCACCAAAAGTTAGCATTCTAACGTAACATGAAGTACCGCGACCGCTGTTTGCACCATGTCATCAGAGATATCGTTGGAAAGCTGCACAATCTCATCGGATCCAAATATGGTCATTTCCTTTGTATCTGCAACCAATCGTGAAAGTACAAAGGGGTCTTAAGAAACGAAATCTCATTGGCTGGTGTCAATTTCTGACAACGTGATTCGTTCAGATGCGTCACGTGGTGTGCTAAAACACTTCCTGGTTAGCTTTCCGCTAGAAATTGAAATCTCAAAATGGCAAAATAACGGCGAAAAAACGTTTGTCACTTGCACGAAGCAAGGTTTTACAAAAAACAAATGATCCACACGAAATACCTTCACGGAGTGCGTCGAGGCGCAAACTGTCATCCAAAGAACAGGAGGGTTCAGCTAGCGCCTCACTGCAATCTTTAAAGGTAGTTTTCTCAAAATAAGTTTTTTCTCCTACTCTGAGTTCGAAATGTCAACTTCAGTAGCACGTAGATACACCAAACCTTCCAGTTATATTCCTATCAATATTATGAAGGCTTTTACTGAAGGGTTTGTTCATATATCATTCATAGCCTGAATTATACAACATTGTATACCTAAAAACATGGCGAAAATTGATATTTTAGGGCTGTTGACAGTATTTTCTGATTTATGGAGTGATACAAAGAGATATCCAAAATCCCTTCTGTAAAAGCCTTAGATACTAATATGACTACAGAATGAAACAAGAATTTTGAACCTGGCTTTATCCAAAGTTCAGATTTTGATTCTTGAAATGTGTTAAAATATGCTCATATTTAATTAGATAATGGCTCATTTGCATATTTAAACATGCTATTTCAGAAAACTTGTTATACAAAAAACAATTGCCTTATTGTAAGTAATTAACTGGAGAAATTTCTAGCTGATATCTTTAAGTTAAAAAAATTACCCTATTCACCTGGGGTGTCTCGCTTCTTAATACATCTCAGCATCTTTTATAGAAGGAACTATTCATACACTGGGGAATCCGCTAAGACCCCATTTACACGGAAACGCAAACGAACCGAATACGATATCAAAAAAGTATTCTGTTCACATGAGACCGCTCGAAAGTGCTGGAGACGCTAGTACATATGCCGGGCCTGTAAGTGGCGCTGTACTTTCGCCAGAAAAGTAGCAGATACAACCTTTTTGTTCCCGTGTAAACAGCACTTAAGTCTTTAAGGCATTGTATGCACCAAACAATGACAACTCTTGCTCTTTCTTAATGCTGGCTTGTGACAGTTTGCATTTTCTGTACTATTGCTGCAGCAGATAGAGTCGAGTTGCTCCTGATAATGTTAACATTCAATTTGATAGGAATGAGAAGAGGGAGCAACTTCACAGAAATACATCAATATTAAATCACCTTGCAATCAAATATTCATTGTGAATGTAAAATAGAAACATAAGCTCAATAGGAATTGGGATTCAGATTTTTTTTCTTTTTTAAAGAATATATAAGTGTCAACCCTGTGAAGTAATGATTCCTTTCTGGCATTGCATGCATTTGTATGCCACTTGATTGCATTTGATAAAAATAAGTTATGTTCTAGAGAGCTTGCCAGCTATCAGGGTCAAAAAAAGGTTTCTACATACAGTTGCAAGAAAAAGTATGTGAACCCTTTGGAATTACCTGGATTTCTGCATAAGTTGGTCATAAAATGTGTTCTGATCTTCATCTAAGTCACAACAATAGACAAACACAGTCTGCTTAAACTAATACCACACAAACAATTATATGTTCTCATTCATAACACTCCGTTCGATGTCTCACTATGGGATGCGCCTCATCGCGGAGCAAACAGAAGCATCAATCTCATTACGCCAATCCTGATTGGCTGGTGATCTTGACGTCAACATCAGGGAATCACCCCCTATAAGTAGCTTGCGCCACGACGCATGCGTCATTCAAACACCTCTTCTCGCTTCAGAGCACATCTCTACAGTAGCCGGACAAGCTTAACAGTCCACAGACTGAACCCAAATCCAAAACATTTCGGTCGACGGGCGCTCGCCGGCTACTCGCCGGCTACTCCTTCTGCTTCGCAAGAAGACGGTAATACTAACGCCAGTTAGTATTAAAATCGACCTCGCCGTTTCTTTCCCCGGAAAGTAAGGTAAGGTTTTGATTTTTCTCAAGCTAGCTACGCACCTGTTGCTAGCTAGCTTCCCCTTACTACCGACACCACGGTAGCGAGGACGCTTTTATTTTTCTCTCTCACGGAGGAGAAAAGGATTAGAAGTATATTGACACACCAGTCAATATTCTTTGAGAACAAAGGACCCACACCGTCCCTTTTTTCTCCGGATTAAGGACGGGTTGGTAACACTTTTCTCTCAACGACGTACCTGTTACGAGCGGGTCCTCTCCACGCCACGAGGCGAACAAGATGAACACCTCTCCCCCTCACACCAGAGGAGTCAGGGACTCGGAGGCTCGGTCATGCGGCTGCGGGTTGAAGATAGCAGGCACAGACTCACACCAGGTCTGCTCGTCCTGCCTCGGGCTGGAACACGCCCAGGAGGCTATCGACAACCCCGGCTCGTGCAGGCATTGTGCCCGTTTCACCCGAAAGAGCCTCCACCGATGGCGAGCACACCAAGCTAGCTTGTTGGAACAGGACTCCCTCATGTCCACTGATTCGCCGTTTGGCAATCAAGACACGGGGGCGTCCGCCGCAGAGACTGAGCCCCTCACTGTGTTGGTCTGGGGCTCACTAACAGCGGCAGCTGCGGAACCGGGATCCCACGCCGTGTCAGGCCGGGACCCGGTGGCGGCAAGAGACGCGGGAACGGAGCCCCACGCTTCACCAGGCGGGAGCTCCCGGCGAGACCTCACCATGGTCTCGCCCGCGGAGGATGTCCTGGAATTAGACTACATGGAGGACGAAGAGGACACCTCTGAGTCCCTCCTGTCTGATTCGGATGAGCAAGAAGAAGATCTCTTCATGTCATCGGCTCAAACGGCAAAGCCGGGAGCGATGGCTGCTCTCCCGGGCGATAGCACACCAGCTTCGCCCTGTCTGAGCATGGACCTGCAGGCCGCGTGTCAGCGCACTGCGTCCAGGCTAGACATCCCGTGGCCCGAAATGGCCAAGGAGACCGCCAGGTCCCGTTACGAGGGGAAACATTCTCCCCAAGCAACGAGGACAAGGAGGCAACTCCTCCCGGTCTTCCCGGAGATGTTGGATGAGGTGTCGGTCTCGTGGAGGGACCGACCCTTTAGCAACAAAGCCCCAATCCAGGGTGCCTCCTCCCTAGACTGCGACGGTATGGAGAGGCTCGGCCTGCTCCGCATACCGCCGATGGAACTGCTGGTGGCAGCCCACCTCCTACCGAGGATGGGCCCGTCACCAAGCAGGAACCCCACGCTGCCAGCGAAGGTGGACCGTTTCCAGTCGACCATGACTGAACGGTCCTACAGAGCCGCAGCGTTGTCCGCCAGGGCTCTGAACGTTTCCTCACTGCTAACCGCATACCAAGCGGAGCTCTGTGACGATATGTCGAGTAATCCTGGACCGGCCGTTCTGGACGAGTTGGCCGCGGTCACAGACATTTGTCTCTGTGTCCAACGCTGCACCGTCCAGGCCACGGGAAAAACAATGGGGATCATGGTGGTGCAGGAAAGAGCTAGATGGCTCAACCTCACCAACCTCCCAGACCGGGAAAAGGAGGATGTGCTTGACATGCCCATCGTTCCCGAGGGGATTTTCGGCTCCGCTCTTGCCTCCATGCAGAGGAGATGCGAGTCGAAAAAGAAGGAGGACGAGGCCCTCCACCTCTGCCTCCCTCGAAGGGCCCAGCCGCTGCGTTTTCGGTATTTTGAACCGAGCAGGGTTCGGGGCAGCTTGGACGAAGGGCTGCCGCTGTGAAGGCCAGAATTTCGGCCAGCAGTCGAGGAAGAAGAAGCGAGTGGCGTGACAGCCCCTCCTTCTCCCCTCTGTGACAGAGCTGGAAGTCTACGGTTCCCCAGCTCTAAATGTGTTCCCGCCGCCTCGAGAGATGCCTCAACACCATCCTCAAGTCCGCATAAACACGTCACACACTTATTGATTTTTCTGTCATAAAACATTTTCCGCTGACGCATCCAGGCTTCAAGCCAAGGGCGCAGCTCGAGAAAATGAAAAGAAAAACAATAAAAACAATAAACAGTCCGTCAACTGTTCCCCTTCTGAGAGCAGCTACGGCCTTTCTCAAAGGGCGGACAATTGACGGGTCTGTGAAGGCACCACCGTCACGCGCAGTGCCGGCTGGGGCTGTAAAGGCACCACCGTCACGCGCATGGGCAGTGCTGGCTGGGGTCGTGAAGGCACCACCGTCACGCGCATGCGCAGTGCCGGCTGGAGCTGTAAAGGCACCACCGTCACGCGCATGCGCAGTGCCGGCTGGGGTCGTGAAGGCACCACTGTCACGCGCATGCGCAGTGCCGACTGGGGTTGTGAAGGCACCACCGTCACGCGCATGCGCAGTGCCGGTTGGAACCGTAAGGGCACCACCGCCACACGCATGCGCTGTGTCGGTGGGGATTGTCGAAATGGGGCACCACAGTGCTCAGACACTGGAGGGCCCCATAACACAACAAATAGAGACTCAGAGGGGAAGAGACGTGACATCTCAGCTGGCTCTAAGGAGCATACAGCGGGAGATGCTCACGACATCTGCTTGGGTTTCTCAAGACAGTTACACGGAGCTAAAGACTCCAAGTCACCGTCACCCCCCCTCGCTTCTCGGGCTATCTGTATTCACAAGCCCGGGGAGAGTCAACCCATATTCTGGAGAGAGAGATTCTCTCTCTCCTAGAAAGGAGGGTTTTATCTATAATGCCCGCCGAGCAGAGTCAGATTACGCAGACAAATGTCCTCGTAAAGCACCTGCTCAACATGGGTCTCATAATAAAACTAAACCCCGCGCGCCACGGCGTGCGGAGAGTATTGGTTATTATGAAATGCGTAGTGGCACTACGCCACTGGCCGCACCCGACTTTTCTAGTACGGGGCGCGCCTACGGGTGCTGTCCTTTCACGGAAGGTGGTCACCACGGACGCATG